AATAATCCTGGAAGAACTGGCGGAAATTCACCCCCGAAAAAGGGTTCCACAGATACAAGCAGCAGGGTAATTATGAGGTCTGAAATGAGGACAAGAGTACAGGACAGGAGAGAGGAGGAACGTCTGGAGTTCCTGGAGTTGTCCATTTTGGAGCCTGCTGCTGGAAAGTAAAGCAGTGCCATATGACGGGCAAAACAAACAAACAAGAGCACAGGGAAACGGGGGATGAATCGGGCGGAAAAGCTGTCATTCTGATATTCCTAAGGTGACAGCTGGCGTCTCTTGCCCCACTAAAGGGCGGCTGTGTCTCGGTAGTAGAGCAGAAGCTCGATCCTCGGTTCCGCTTGACCATGACGACGTGTCATAGGGCAACCGACTTTACCCCAAATTGCTCCCACAGTGTGTTCCTGCAGTGTGTGAATGGGGATAAATGGGACTGACCGGTCCTCAGCGTGTGAATGGGTGGAGGACGACACATAGTGTTAAAGTCTTTGAGTGGTCGGAAGACTAGAAAAGAGATAAACAAAAGGTATAATACATTTGCCATGTGACTGTCAGAAATGACGCCCTGCGTCCAATCAGAAAAAGAGTGCATCCACCTCCTCAGTCAGCACTACACCTAACCCAAGTGTAGCCTATTTATGAAGGTGTAGCTAGACCTAAACCTAGGACTCAATCCTAGTGGGGGGGTTCAGGTCAACCTGCAGCTTCATGGCTCCTCAAGCAGAATGTAAATATAATAATAATACTCTATTTGGTTTAAATAAAGACACTTGGAGTAGCTCAATAATGAAAATATTTCGTTGTCAGATTCTACGCTTCTACGTCTTGTGAATGTTCACCATCATGATAGAGAGCTTTCAGAGACCCCTTTAAAATAAGTTTTTGTGTTACCCTGAGTTCATAATTCTGTGTTAGGTATATTTGGCCGTCTACTACTTCGATACCATTAAGTTCTCAAAAGGAGATTTGACGCTGGTTCCTCTCACTTGGAGTTCCCAGGACAGAGAACCCCGGGGGATGGACCTTGGCTCAAAATCTTAAAATCTATTTCCATCCCCAGCCAGAATACTCAAATTCTTGTACTTCCCGTTGCAACCCAGATATCTTGTATTCCTTTTGGGATACAAACAACAGCCTGACCTGACAGGCCCCAGTAACTCAATAACCCGTCCGGAGGGGTCGATCATGGGAAAGGGAGGGACAGCTAATGGCCTCAGACAGTCGTTTTAGCGTGCTGTAAATAAACACATCGTCTGTCAACACAGTGGCGGCGAGCGCGATGTGCCGAGCTGTGACACTGTTCAGATTTATAAGCATCTGTAACAGCCGCCGACAACCCAAACTGCTCTCTCAGAGGGAGAGAAGGACGACGATCCGTCCTGAGAGAAAGCCGTCCTGTAGAAAGGAAAGGGGAGGAGCCACATTGGCCGCGTTACAAGTCCCATCACAAGTCTTTCCACTCCATTGGATGTCTCCATCGTCTCAACGACGTGTGTCTCTCAGAGGCTCCGCACGGGAGTGAAAATGGGTGGACAAAAAAGATCAACGACCCGGAGAGTCCTAACGTGAGCCTCTTGTAGAAGAACTCAGGAACTGCGGGAGCCGTGCGCTAGTGGTTCCTCACTGACTCCACATCACGCTGTGGAGACGACAGTTCAATTAGCCTTCAAAGTGCAGAGCAGGGAATTTCCCAGCGCCCTCGATGCACACTTACACCAAGTACAGGGACACCAAAATTGCGTCTTAGATCTTAGCGACAAGTAGACGCTGTTATGAGCCAATGAGGTGTAATGTCATCATAAGGAGGCCTATTTCTTTGAAGAGATTGGCTCCATAATGTCACATCCAATGTTGGAAGAAAGTGAAACTTTATTGAAGGTCTGGTACTAAGGAACTCATAAATTGTAACAGATAGTAAATTCGTTCTGCATTCATCCACTAATGTGCTCCAAAGGTTACATACTTGCTTCACTTTAGCCGCATTTCCATTTCCTTTGCTTGCTTCACCAGTATTGCACATGTCCAATAGTGGTCTATAGAGAACGTGACCTTTTTTAGGGCTTTTTTCAGGATGGTTTGTAGAAATAGGTCCTAAAATACAACTTGGCTTCCTGTTTATTATGGATGAGATAGCAACACTAAAATGACAGAGCTGGGCAGGGTACATCAAGAAGATTTTCTTACCCGCCAAGTTAACATTTTGGAATAATTCATGTATTTTATTCAACTTGCACAAACACCGCTGCCAAAAATGTCTATTGCATGCTTTGGCATGCCGCGAGGAATGCGAAGTTCTTGTCAGATGCTTCCAGCAACTGTTTGCCTCGTTTTACAATGAGAAACATAGCAGATCCTGGCATGATGGGTCCCAGAGTGGCTCTCAGCTCCAAACCGACAACCAGACTTTCAATTGCAGATTGTTCTTACGGTTCGGTATAAATGTGCAAAGAGTCCGAGATCTCACGCCATGAAGGTTGCTAGACCATTCCAGGTTTCTGTCCAGGTGGACGCCCAGCCACTTGGCAGATGACGGCACGGCGATCTCCCCGTCGCTTTCCTGCCTCTTGTGTCCCTGGTTTAGCCTCACTTCCTGGCCTGTCGTGTCAACCCCTGTGATTGTCTGCAGTGTCCCTGATCCACCTGTGTCCAATCACAATCACTCTGCGCTTGAGTTCTGCTTCCGCCTACTCAACTCCCCTGTTGTGACACCAGCCTTGTTTTCACCATATTTAAACTGCAGTTTTCCCCACAATTTCACACAATATCTGTGTGTGATCTAATTCGGAGTTGCTGCTTGACGTGTACATCTTGTACAGGAAGACAAATCTATTTGAACAACCTAATTTGCACTTGCACCACCCACCTGCACACAATGTCAGTTCGTAGCCTCATGGTAAAAGTACGGTTCTTTTGCTTTGCGCTCTGGTTGTCTGATATCGTCAATCTCCTCCTGCAGGTTTTTCCAGTGTGGGTTGATCAAGTCTGTGTTTGACACCTCAAAGAGGCGAGTGTTGGCTGAACCTCTGCTCGAGGTTTAATGGGGATGGCCAGAAATCCTTAAATCCTTATCAAGACCAATAACACGTGTAGTATTTCACCTTAAAACTGCTACAGCAAAGTGTCACAGCACACGTCCTTTTACTGTAGGACCAGTACTGTGACTGATGAATGGTGATTTGTGCAGTACCTTCTAGACACACGTTAAGTAGCACAGACATTAATAGGCCCCATGAGCATATTGCAATGTTTTTTAAGGTGACGTTGCATTTGGGCTGCGCTCTGTGCCCTCCCAGAAGAGCTGGCAGGAGCTGTGAGAAGCCTTATTATGCTCGGCGGAGTGTGAATATCTGTGTGGCGAGCTCGCTGTACTCTTTACCTTTGTGTCTGTCGGTGCATTCCTGCAAACCTGGGTAGGTGCTCAGGGGCCAGCGGAATAAAGAAGGCGATTGCAGGACCACCTGTTCATAACTTGCGGGCCACAACCATAAGAGCCAGTGAAGCGTGGGTGAACCCATTTAAATATGACACATTTCACTGTGAGACTTTCTAATTGAGTTCAAACCGTGTGCTTGTTTTATTGACTAGCCGTTAGCAATGCTACGAGTGGGATGATTAACTAAAGCTGCTTGCTTTGAAAAGCATTCAGAAATACTCTGTATGATGTTATGGGGAGTGAAATGTCCATACAGACCCGTTGACGTGTCCGACTTGACCTTTAGGCACTTAAAGATTTAGGCAGAACACATTTACAAGCTCTCAAAATACCTTTAAATCCTTATATTTATGAAGATACTGTTTTCATATTCCACACATTTGTGTTATTTGTCACTGTGATATTTTTTGTTCACATGGATTGCTGTGTTGCTTTTGTTGGTGTGATGGAAGTACAATGAAATTTGTAGACGGTTTCACATTCGCAGATTAAACTAACTGCACCGTTCAAGAAGACCTGCATTGAAGAACTAAATTGAAATAGCTTTTGGGAAAATTCGAGACCGAGACAAAGTTAAGAGGACAGTAAAACAAAAGGTGCCATAATAGACTGTGACAAAGGTTGTGGGAAGACGTACCACCAGAGGTGGAGAACTGGGTGGTGTCAAGCCAGGATTCATCAAAGGCATTTTTAGGTTTTTGCAGCTTTAAAGCGCCACAGATTCTTTTGTCTTGCGGTTCTCACCAGTGATTATTCTGAGTAGCACCTTAACTGCCACGCGGCTGATTTTCTTTATTCTTGTAGTTGTGTTTGTTGCAGGTGTGGCTCAGAGCTAATCCTCTGTGGTTTGATTCATGTCAAACAACCCCAACTAGAATGCTGTACCTTTCACGGAGGAATGAATGATGTTCTAATTTGAAAAGCCTTTTAGTGTGTTTTAATTGCGAAATAGATCTTAATAAGAACATCATTTATATTCCCAGAAATCCCCAAATTTCCTCAAGGGGAAAATGTAAGCGCCGCAAGTTTAATTAAGGAGCGCTGAGCTTATATGTGTGTGTGTGTGTGTCATTATGTTTTCAGGGGTTACAAGTCAGCAGCAAATACAGATTTTAATCTTAAAGTCAACTAACATGCATGTGGTGGAGTACAAGGTAAAGCCATCAAGTAGCCAGAAAAACAATACTTGAGTAAGTAAGTAAAGAGAAAGATTAATGTACAGTAACTGACTCACTAGTTTCCATCAAAGCAAAGCACGGGAGATGAGAACGTCATAGGTTGGTTTCTGATTAACTGCATTTTGCAGGTCTTTATTATTTAAAACAAAAAAGAACGCAAATGGGCACGTGCCTGCTTTCCTTCGCTTCATTCTACTGCGAAACAAAAACCTGCTCCTCTCGTTTTAAAAATCACCGCTCACAATGCTCTTAAAGTGGAGATTTACGAGTGGAACCTGAAGGCAGCAGCAGGCCCGCGGCTGCCAGGAGGAGAATCTCTCTCTATCTGCGCGTGGTAAATGATGCTGCGCGCTGATTGGCTGCCGGCCGCTCGCTTGCGCTCCATCCTGCGGGCCGACTCCACTCCCAGCCGGGACAGGGCGCTCAGTCCGCGCGCTCCTCCCGGTGATCCCCGACACCGCGACTCGCCGCTCCTCCTCACAGACAAACACACACACACACACACGCGCGCGCACACACTCATGAGTGCGCTCTGCGTCCGTGCGCACCACCGGCTGCTGCGACCTGCCTACTTCACCTGAACGAGCAAAGCGCAGCGGGGACAGAAGCACTAAACAATGCGTGCACATTGCATTATGCGATACCGCAGATTATTACTACTTTTGCGCTCTCCCATGAGGTAACGGCGGAGGTGGAAGATTGCATGCCATCACCATGGATTGCCTTTTTCTTCTCATCTGGACTTTACCCATCCCGCTGGTCGGCTGCAGCTCAGTCAAGCTCCTGTCCACCCTGTTGTCCTGGAACATTGTCAAGGCATGTGGCGAACGCATACACTCTTAAAATCCAGCAAACGCACCGATCTGGGCCGGGACCAAAACAAACAAACACGTGTCTCTTTCCGCTGCGGCGCATGCACCGCCGTGCTCTCCGGCTGTAGGAGAACAGTTGGACAAGCGATTGTCATCCTAAATCAAACCTGGGTGCAACTCGTGTTTCGACAGAGGAGCTCCATCCATCATCCTGTTGGCTCCCACTTCTTACAGTGCGTGTAACCTGTTGCTGCCCGTCCCTTGATAGAATTTCTTTTTCTCATTATTGTCTTTGCAGACGCTGCACGTTTACTGCGCGCACACAGTCACGGCCGGCTATTCCTCCAGCGACAGACACGGATTAAATCACGGTGAGTGCTCGTCTTTTGACATCTGTGCAGGTTTCTTCCAGCTGGCATTGTTCCACGTTTGGTAAAGCGAATTTGGCCGAGTTATTGGACCAGTGGTTCCATAAGATGTTCTTGATTGAAGCTATTAGGTAGAGTTCCATTGTTAATTGGGGGTCCTTGTTAGGAAGAAATGTTAGGGGACCCCATGTTTGATCTGAGCGCTTCATTGTCTGTGGAGGACCAACCTCTGAGTGCAGGGATTCCCCGTCAGCGGAAAGAAACTCGGAAGTGAAGATGCTCCATTGGAGGGTTTATTCCAAGAACATGCAGACACTCAGACCTTTAAACCTGAGAGAGGGAATACTTCAAAAACCTTTGTCTTTTTAGTGGATTTCTGATGTGGAATCTCCCACTGCTCTACTGTGTTGAGGTGGTTAGTAAACATGATTGCATTTAAGTAACAACATAACAACCACATGCAACCACAGCCTCTGTCTTTTAAGTATTGACCCATATCTGACATACGTGGAAGTATGATTGTTGGAGCCGTGGCTTCTGTTAAAAAGTAATCTGCATCCCATATGAGGGGCTCTCCTCTGAGCAACAGCTGAGCGCAGCACCTTCCCCTCCCAACAAACGCCTTCCATCTGGGCGATGCACGCTGTGTGTGTTTCTGGTTGCACTTCTGGTTTGAATTTCAAGTCATTTTTTTCAGCGATCTAAAACATTAACAGTAAGTAACTCGCAGCGAGGTTGCTGTGATGTGTTGCTTTAGAGTTTTTACTCTTGGCATGGTGTCAATGGCTTAGTTAACAACTAGCTGGAACTGAAAAGAGATAAAGCCAATGAGCCGCTGAGGAGGAATGATTCGAGTGCTCGATGTCATCTCTCTCATGTGACCATCCCCCCCCCCGTTGGTCTGCAGACTACGTGTTTGTGACCCCCGTGGAGGTGGACTCTGAGGGGGGATACCTGACCCATGATGTGACCAGGAGAAGCTCTCGCAGCAGGAGGTCACTGTCTTCTTCTCTGCACTACCGTCTCTCGGCCTTCGGGCAGGACATGCATCTGGACCTGGTTCCGTCCCCTGTGGTGGGCCCGGGGTTCACCGTGCAGACGGTCGGCTTGGATGGCATCGCCACGGTGATGGATGATGTTGGGTTTCACGACTGCCTGTATCAGGGATTTATACGGAACGCCTCGGCCTCCTCTGCAGCCATTTCGACGTGCTCTGGACTGGTAAGTGTCTGAATGTGACATCTTGGGTCTTGATGACCTTTGTTTTTTGAAAAATAACTTTGTTGCATTACTTTTATCACATAGCTTGTACATTTCCTGAAGTGGATTACGTGCTTCTACATGGTTTGAGAGAGCGTATCGCCTCTTAGAAGGATGAAACATTACCAAACTAAATGATTTCAAACATGTCAATGAGGTTGTTTTTCATTTGCTGACAACTTTATTGGCCTTTTCTGTGGGAAATACTAGTTTCTCATCCAACATTGCTTGTGATCTGTTCCTTTATGTCCTGTAATGGTTTTGCTTGGTTCTATGGGTGAACTTTAGCATGACATCATTAACCATGAGTGTACGCATCAGTTTTTCCAGCTTTGTGAGGCACCTTTTTGAACATTGGGAGGTTGGGTGGAAAAAATGCGAAAGGAGAGACACGATACACTGCTGACAGGACATCATATAAAAAGAGTCAATGATTCAATAGAGCGGTTTATCGCGGCGCCAGCGCAAAATGAACCCAATGTATTGATCAGGACATTCTGAGAAGACAAGAGGAGATTGACCACAAGTAATTCTTCCAGGAGCCAATTTAATTAGTTTGTTTCCGACAATGTGTCAATGGAATGAACAGTCCAGTTGGGTTTAGCTTAGCAAATGTCTGATAGGGTGACTCCTCTATGATGATTTACTCCCTCGGTAATCATTGTAGACAAGAGTTTATGGTCTAGATCTATAGTTTAATGTCTTCTTCAGAATAATTTATTAAATTATAGTCCATTTAGAGTCAAATATCCTACGAAGCAGGGTCTACTTTAGGGTGGGCTTCCCTGTCAGTGAGGTCGCAGTCTTGACCTGGGAGTCTTTTTGTCTTAGAACTTTTCTCCATTGACAGTATGTTATCGGTTCATGTAAGTTGATTGTGACCTTTTGGATCCTAAAAATATCTTTTAGATCATTTGGATGGACTCGCTCCTCTGTTGTGGCCTTTCGGACCAAAAACTGTGATGGTCACTAAAGATATGACGGACTTAAGGCTTTGAAACCAATGGATGATGTCCAAGGGGCTACGGCCTCCTCTTACATACGGTCTATGGTTACACCATCTGAATGGCATTCGCTCTACGTCACTGGCTATGATAACACCTGAACTGTATATATATTTTTTAATTTCAACATAGCCAGGCCAAAGTTACTCTTCTCTTCTGCCTCTGATCGTTGTACTAACAAAGCTCAAGACGTTGAGACTCCAGATCCGTACTCTGATATCGGCCATCTCTTAAGACTAAAAACAAGAATGAATCCCAAAGTTCTTACTGACTTGACTTCATTTCTCAGTATTACATAATATCAGTGACACCTTAATTGGAATTTGGTTATGAACTTTTCATTGATTATTTCAAACTCCTCAGGGACTCGCAGGACTTTCACATTCCTCGACAGGTCCCCCACCAGCCTGGACCAGCTGGACACACTACAGCTACTTATTAAAAGCCGTACTTCTGGTTATCACCCAGGCTTCCATGCCTCCTCTTGCCTCCTCCAGCTCGCCTCTGCTCATTTATCGCTTGCAGTGCCTCTACATCTCTTCTTGTTGCAGCAATTAAAGCCAGGGTGAAGTTTGAGCCGCCTCGCCGGCTCTGCTAATCTCCACATTGTTCCTTTCATTAGGCGAGCTCTCACTCACAATAAAAGACAGCTGACCCTTCATCTTGAAACGCGATTGGGTCAGGATTGCACTTGAATGGTCCGAGAGAAAACATGTCTGTTTTTCACTCCACATTTTGCCTACTATTTCTTCCTATTCCCAAATCCGACCCTGAGGCCGCTGTTGGTCGGATGTTCACTGCTGTTGAATCGCTGGCAGGAAAAGGAAAGACTTTTCTGGGCCTCTGTGTTTATGATTTTGGACTGCTGTGAGGCTTAGAACACCGGAAGCAGTTGACCCTTGCTCAGCCTCTACCCTGCAAAAGTACAAATGAGGAAAGAGCCATCCAAGCCCGCCTGAGGCAGTGGTGGGCTCAAAGAGATTAGGGTGGGATTAAAAACAATGATTAAGGGGAACAAGTCAGAAAAAGAGAAGAAGAAGAAGAAGACAAGGAAATCCAGGAAAAGACCAGAGAGAGAATAGCAAAGAGGGTGGAATACTGAATGAGCGGGCTGGCCTGGAAGCACACGGCTACAGACAGAATGTGTTGTGCAAAATGAATGTGAGTTTTTGTGTGGGTGGGAAGCTCCCAGGAAGGCTGGATGGTCTCTTAATAGAGACCTGGAGAGATGGACTTTTTATATCAAAGGGCTTCGGAGGAGGAATAGGGTGAGAGAGCTTCGGAGAAAAAAAAAAAAGCCTCCCTCTTACCTCATTTTATTGTCTCCTTTCAACAAAGCAGAGGTAAGGAGGAGAAAGGGGAAAGGAAAGTGAAATACAAGTATTTGGACATGACCCCTCTCACTAATAGCTGCAGCTATTCCACCAGGTCGCTCCCTGGCCCGGGGCAAGCAGATGGAAGGGATTCAGCCATTTAAATGAAGACGAGGGCGACATGGTATTAAGAGCGGGGCCGGAAGGATGAATGAGCTGAGAGGGATTTTCTGCTGTAAATCCTCATTAATTGAACATGGTGTTATGTTCTTCTTTTTGATTACTCCCTCTGTGTTTTTAGGGCAAACAAAGTTGTTTGGCCTCTCCAGCGTGGACGAGATGTTTCACATGTAATGCGCTCTGATTCGTGAGAGGAATGGGGGGACGACGGGGAGTCCTCTTTCTTTCTTCTGTTGAGGGTCTCTTTGCCCGTTGATTTCATTCCTCTCTACTCGTGGATGTGGGGAGGAGGGTGGTGGTGGGTGTCAACGCGGACTCCCTCAGGTTCTTTGTATGTAGTGAGGGTTCAGAGCTGCTTACCACTGGTGTGAATGCGGAGGGGAGAGGAGATTTACTGCTCCCCTCTGTCCTCCAAGCCCCTTCTCAGGATAGGATTCCTCTCCCTGGGGTGACGAGGGCAGCGCTGAGACCTGTGCTGCTGGGCCCGTGAGAAAAACAGTCACTCCACAGAGCAAGAGAATCAGAAGGTTGACACCTGTTTGCAGATTGCAACTGAACAATAAAGTGCAGAAGAGAGACACTAGGCAACATTTGTTTTTAAATTTTGCTTGATTCTTGATCAGTACCATAAAATAAGTCATAGCGATAAGTATTAGATACGACAGAGAACAGTCCTACAATAGAAGATCTGATGGGTGAAGTTAGAACAAGCAAGACTTTGAGGGAAATATTAGAAATACCTCCATCAGTAGATGCCAGCATCTCAATTTGAGATTTTTATTTTGATGTCCGTTAGCTATAGAGCTACATCTGATACATTGTAATTTGCAAGTTTTGTATAGGATAAGATGCAACATATTCCGAAGTTGCTTATCACTGCTATAAGTAATCTCTGGTCATCAATCACATGACGGCACGTCTTCATGACTGAAACGTTTGTTGGATACACACCACGTTGTGGCCGAGCCGACCATGACCATTACTATGACCTTTCCCAAGCCCCTTCCGGCAGGTCAAAGACAGTTTAGTCTCTATGGAAACGGACCAATGGGTGCAATGCATGGGATCAGTTTCACTCGGGTTGATACCAAAGGTGCGCCAGAAATCACATTGCCTGACTGAACGTGCGCTTTTGGAGAGTCTCAGTTCCTTGCCCTGCTCAGTTTCCTCGGTGCTGAGAGAATCCAACTTCGTTTTGCTCTTCATTTCCACACAGCTGTACTACAAAGCATCTGGGAGCAGTGGGCCATGTGGTGGTCAGCATGATCACTGTCTGAGCTGAAAGACCTGATCCACGGATCCACAGTCCCCCCACCATGTTCTATTCTATCATCGAACACTGCCAACGCAGTTTATTTTAACTAATCAAGCTTGTATGTGCGGACATTTTTCTTTTTTTTCTTTTTCGGATGAGCTCGGGAGGCATCTTAGAGGATTCTTGGGAGTTTTCCCAGCGACAGTGAAAGAAGAAACACGAGGGAAAGTGTCAACACACACCTCCTCTTTACTGCCCTTCATCTTTTCACGGAGCTCAGATCAAACCCGTCTGACGGCCGTCGTTGACATGGTGCCGAGTGTTGTGGCAGACACCGGGGTCTGTTGTAAGAGGGAGCTCAACCTACGACCTCTGTCTGCGTCTACCGGGCACGAGGCTCCCTGCCGTGTGAAGAATGCCTTTGCTCTTTTTTCAGGGCCGCATGTATTGATGTGGTTTTAGATCATATATGTGACAGGTTTGAGTTCCATTACTTGTCTGCTTTCTGGTAGTTTTACAAAGTTCAATGTGCATTTCTGGAGCAATTAATGATTTAGAAGTTATGATCCACCTCAAAACTGCTGTATGGAATTTCAGATATCTGAAAAAAAGGTGTGTGTAATCTACATCTGGAAGACATAGACTATTTGGACCAAAAGGCTTGATTATTTAACACGTTTAGATGGTAATCCCATCAGACTCCTCGAGGAGCTGAGACAACATATGATTACTCAATATACGGCGTGTTTGTCCCTGTGCTCCAAATCCCTTTAGCCCTTCAGCTGGGCTGAAATGACACGTGAATGACCGATAGCCTGCTGGCGCTCGGGCCGTTTGTACCCGTCGGTTTTCTGTAAAAGGCCAACAAATTGGAACGTCTCCCCAGTACAATGTGCCTCTCCGACTTGGTCATAATTCAGCGACAGGTCTGGGCCACAGAGGAGCTCAGAGCCTGGCGTTACAGGAGCAGAGTGGCCTGGAGCCGTTCCCTGGTGGTCTGAGCCCTGACAGTGATGTAGTGGCCACTGTTAGATGCCAGCAGGAGAGGGGGCCATGCTCTCAGCATGGCCGTGGGATGGTGTGTGTATGTGTGTGTGTAGAAGGAGCAGTGTGTGGTTGAATGTCCTTTCTAGTCTGTACAAGGTCTTACTCACATAAGACTAATGGCTGCTGCCGAGCTCCTCAAGTGGATGTTGCAACTTCCATAAGCCGAGCCAATACATCAGATCCGACCTACTGTTGTCACAACGGCATCACATCCACTGGTGCTGTGGCTCAACAGGGCTACAGAAAAGTGCCACGTGCTGCCTGTTTGAGAAGGAATACCAATGTATTTCTTGGCCTTATTGTTTGGTCTTTTTTTGGTCGGGGTGAAAGTTAATTTTAGAAGGTGTGAATGAAACCATCAAAGCTGTGAAAACCAACCTTTCACCGCCAACCAATACATTTTAGTACAATCTATTTGGTTTCTGTTCGCGCTAGAGCAGAATCTGGGCTGAATACTGCGAGGAGCACAACCTGGTCCTGGTATTACGAACGAAGGGTTTCAGACTGCTGGGTGAGAATACTCTCATTCTCCACTGTGTGTAGAGGAGCTGTTTCTGTATTCGGGGGCCTCAAATCAGTAATGAGTGACACAACCGTGGTGTCTTCCTTGGGTCAGAGCGCAAATGCAAGGCTGTTGATAGTAAAGGATGATATATGGACCATCAGGACAAGATTTGATGATGTGTTCACAAAGTATTGTATTCCTCTAGAAGTATGTGGAGACGTTAGTTGTCACAAAAAAGGGTCAATAAACAGGCTACGGAGCCGTATATGGTTCCTGTTCTCTGATGCTGTGGGAGCTTCATATGGAAGCACGGAGTGGATGTGGAAGAAAAGGACTTTTTTTGGGGGGGGGTCCATCGGCTTCATATTTATTTTTTATCGGCAATTATCATACAATGTCAGACCTGCGTGTAACTGGGAGGCATTCTAACCAACACTAAACGGTTCTGGGCTGAAAGTTGAAGGGCTCCCTCATCTTAGTATCACGTTACTGTTCTTCATTTTGGAAGTATTCTGTCCACTTTATTTTAAGCTTTTTATTTTGGATTTTGTGAAAAATGCTAGATCAGCGTGAACCGTGTTTATCATAACTGAACAACTGTGTTCCCGTTTCGAGCTAGTGAATCTTTTTGGCTTCCTCAACAACCATCAATCGAATCAGCTCGTTTGGCTGTTTGTGTGTAATAAGCAAATATGTAGAGCTATCAGACTTCCACCTTTTCTAGCACCAGATGCCACTGATGGAAAATGGAAATGATCCCTAACACAATTTTCAGAACTCTTTAAGCTTATTTGAATTGCACGTGCGAATACGATACTTTGCATCACAGTAGCCTGGATTTCTACAGCAGTAAAAGTGTTGCACTGTAACCTGTTTAAAGTGCAATTAATGGCACTTTCTAGGATGACATTTCCATATGTATGGGTAGTGAGTAGTCCTCCTGTTCCCTACTGTGTCCACACAGGATGACCGATGGGACCATGGACCATCAGCTCCAAATGACAAAGGGCTCATCCAACACCATCACTTTATGTCCTTTGTGTGTGCCCACCTCTGCTTTGTTCACAGACGTGCCCAGAGAGCGTCAGTAGGCTGTTCAAAGACAATTAGTGATCCCAAACAAAGGCCGTGAGACCCCAGGGCTGTTGACACACGGTGATCCCAATCAGTCTCTCATGAAGAGGGTTACCCAGACATACAGTACTTTAACTAATGGAGACGCAGCTAACGGAATGGCTTAACGCTGCTGAGAATTTGGAAATGCAGTCATTTTTCAAATCAAAGGGATGACAGGGTTATGCCCTGTCATTGCCGCGCGGCTCATGTCTGCTGTGCCATCTTCTTCTGATCCAAGATCCAAAATAACCATTTTTCCTCGGACCAGTTCTAAACCCATTTTAAAGACACATAATTCACTCCAGCAAACTATAATTACTCAGATTGGGATGCCGTCGAATAAGTTTGGTGCCTGAGGGGCCTCACTGTGCCTTGTATGCACCCCCCCACACACTCCCACCCCACCACCATCACCACCACCACCACCACCACACACGTGATCCTCTGCTGAGCTGGAGTGCAGATGTGCTTTAAAGCTCTGTAATCACCAGCTTGGGGCTTCTCGCCGCTCGGCACCAGTCTTTAACAGCATGTAAGCACTTACTCATTTGCCTTATAATATCATGGTAGGAAACCTTAAAAGAGAATACAGTTCATACACAGACAAGCTAAAGATTCCGTCTCTCCTGACAAAAAGGGGGAGAGAGTTTTTCGGAGCTGCTTGGTTTGGCTTTACCATCTTTTTTCTAATGTAGAAATGATCTCATTGGTTGTGGCCTGATTCAACCTGTAATCTTGCCTGTGTGAATCCGTGTGTGTCTGCGTGGGAGGGAGGCAAAGTGAGGGCTCATCCCTTTAATTTAGCCAAGTGTTAATGTACGGAGATAACTAGAGGTCTGCTGTATCAACATTGCCTCCTAGTCTTGGAGGGTAAACGCCGTGAAACTCTTTACAGCTTAAGTACCTTTTTTGCATCACACAGCATTAAGTGTATTGGCCAGTATCTTTAAAAAACTGTCTTTGACGCAGGGAATAAAGTGGTATGTGTTCTGTATCTAAGGGTTTGTGGTGTCGATCCATTGATACAAGTCTATTAACAGCTGCGCCAGATGTTAAGTTGGAGAAAAAAAGACTGGCTATTCTTCTATTCTTTATACCTTTTGGAATCCCGATGTAGTTTGAAGAAAGTGCTGGAATCAGACACTGGGTTGGTGCAATACAATGTATTTTTCAAGCAAAGAATTCCACCCCAAGCTTTCTCTCTGGAGAGCAACTGATTTATTCCATTCTTTACGTAGCCTCACATCGCAGGGCTGACATTGCGTTTTGGTCTTTACCCTTTTCCACTGTTTCCTTGGATACAACAATATTTTTGAATAACAGCCAGTTTACGTTTAGCTATTGGAATCTCAGTGTATAAAACTGTTCCTTTTCATACCCGCTTTCCATAAATATCATGTTAATATCCTCTTTGCGAAATGATACATGTCTGATGTCCCCTTTCCTTTGATAACATCTTTCTAATGGAAAGCTGAACAGCTCTCCAGCACCTGCTGTGACTCCAGAAGCTTCAAGGTTGCAGAGAAATACACTTTAATCCTGACATCAATTAGATGATATGTTAAACCATTAAACCAACCAAATTATATTCCCTGTAGTTTTCAGTATGTCATATATCCTTTTTTTTTACATTTTTGATACAATAAAACCTTCTGAAGCTATCACAACAAAATATTTTTAAAAGAGGAGCATTTTTTGAGGTGCATGTTTGACCTCTTCAAGCGCTGCTTTAAATTCTAAACGATTTCGGGAGGAACTTTTCGTTTCTTGATTCAAATGTTCTATATATGTAGTCCATTGCCTAGGGGGACATTTCCTTGTAGGTTGAGTCTTACAGAATGATTCTGCAGGTCAGGGTAGTTGCTAAGTAACTAGCTTGAGGACGTTTTGGCAGATATGATAGGGTTTAAACTACTGACCCATCGAAACAAAAAAAATCCTAACCAATGAACCTTGTTGAAATGACACATAGTCAAAATAATGAGGTTTGACAACATTACATTGCTTGATGGATGGAGAAGATGATTTATGAAAAGGAGTGATGGATGAAATGTTAAATAGATGGGGAGAGGGATTAATCTACGGTTGAATGCATGGATTGGGAGTTGGAGATGGATGGATGGATAGAAGTACGTTGTCTTATATGAAAGACGATTGATGGACCACATTTTTGAATAAATTGATGGATGAAAGAATGGATGGATAGCAGGCAATATAAAAGGTTGGATAAAGGGGTGTATCGAGAGATGGATGAATGTAAAGATAGACGCATAGTTGGATGGATGGCAAGATGGAATGAAGGAAGGGTGGAAGGAAGGATGGATGGATGGAAGGAAGGATGGATGGATGGATGGTTGGATGATGATGTTGGCAGTCTGCCATGTGTCCAGGCATTGTTTTGACAACAAGAGCCTCGCCATGGCTTCCCTTTTGTCTTGCCTCTGTTTATTTTGCCACCTGCTACTCTGGGGGGAATGGGGTCAGCTCAACGGGAGCAGGGTCCTGTCAAACACGCTAACATGCATGCGCACACTTACACACACATACACTTCAGCAGGTTGACATAAAAACAGACACACACACACACATACACAAAGAGGTCAGAAGTCATTGGGTCAAAGGGTGCATGTGTATGTTTTTGATGAAGTCAGTGAGCATGTGCGGATTGAGTGCACAGCTATTTTTTTGTGCGTTGGTGGGTTGTGGAGAGAATTAGGTAGAATTCCGTGTTCAGACTGAATGTTTAAGGTTCAGTAGCTCAGCATCTCAGTTTAGAGGTCGGACGGAGCTCGTTTGTTGCTTCCACACAAGACGGTTGTGAGCAGGACATGTTCATCAGCTTTGTGCGAAAGGTGTAAACAAAGACGGGATCCACTTCGAATTTCAAAGTAAAATTGACAGCCATATATGCATGTCCAAGTACAATGTGTGATTAGTAAGTGGTTCAAGCAGTGATTCATAAGTATGCTTTTTTGTCTATATTTAAAGCTCAGAATAACAATTCCAAAAGCAAAATACCCATCCAATGAATTATTATTTGACATAATCATCATTATAATGTTTCACTATTTTTTAGCAGTATTACTTATTTAAATAAATGTGTTATTCTACGCAATGTTTTCTGCTATAAGTTAACCCTACCCACTATGTCTTCCAGCTAAATAAGACATCTCCTACCTTTTTCTTGGACATTGCTCATTTTAGGATAGAGTTAAGACTGGTTGGATTCTAGGGCAGACAGATCCGGTTGTCTTAGCCCTCTCTGTATTGTATCTTTCAAAAGCCACTTATTTTCTTTAGAAGCTGTAACTTTAAAAACAAATGGACAATGTAGAAATAGTTCCATTGCACATGTCTTTTCTGTATCTTCCAGTCAGGTTTGATCCGCGTGTCTCAGGAAGAGTATTTAATTGCCCCGCTACCCCAACATCTGGCTGCACAGCACAGCTACAGCGCCCCCGATGGTCACCACCCGCATGTTGTCTACAAGCGCTCTGCGGAACACATTGTGCACCGACGATCCGGCCGCTCATCCAGCACCGGTTCCTCAACGCCCGACAACCCGTACCTTCACCATCAGCATCATCATCAGCAGACCCATCACCATGACTACGAGCGTGGAAAGCTGCACTTCTGCGGACGCCGCAAGCAATGTATGTAAGGGAACCGTACAATCCTTGTATTTCCTTTATTACCTGCACCCTTCATGAAAATGGCTGTGCTTTGCGATAAGCATCAGCTGACCAGCATTTCTCGCTACATTAAACTCATTAATTATTTCATCATTTAGTTTAAAACAACACTGAGGTGGCACACACACCAGATAATGCCGACTCAACTTTTGGCGCAACGCAGCCCGGCGTCCTGTTGAAAGTAAAAATAACAAAGAACAAACACTAGGATAACTAGAAAAATACACGTGCTTGCCACAACTATTTGTGTATGTTCTGACTTTGTGGATGCTCACTGTAGAAAGTTTGGTTTTGTTTATTGTGAAACAAACTGCAGCTAGAAACCTCCATTGCTACCTGCTCTGAAATGAGTGAAGCTGCCTCCATGTGCGGTTGGAACTGACATAAAGATCATAAAACCCCACCTCTCTCAAAAAACAGTCAACCCGAGGGTCACGCTTCACAACATGACAGGGACACTCCTACACCGCCGCACAACCTGCATTGCCGGATCTGGTGTGAATGCACCCTACCGTCAGTGCTAGGGTCCTAATTCAAAACATGTGCTTTTATTTTGAATACACATGTGGTTAAATGCATGCAACTTGTAGATGGATAATTCAGATAATTATCTAGTTAACCCAAGACAATCCAACTACCAACTGTACATTGGTACTGGTAATTACAACATTCAAGATCATAATCATATATGAATGTAGACAGACTCGCCTGTGTGGATGGGATGCGATCATGTACTGGACAACCACCATACGTACCAATACAATAAGATGTGGTGTACAGTGTAAAGCAAACTTTTTGGATTTGCTGTGGATCTTTTAGCTTTAGTGTTATGAAGGAAGAAAGTAGGTAAAAGGTAAAAAAAAAGAGAAAACACAATTATCAAGAAGTGACCATACAAGGGCCAATGAAGCACAGGAACAAACAATCTCTGATCTAGCAATATTTCATAGCATCTCTTTGCAAAAATTGAAAACATTTTCATTTTTTTACTAAGTTAGACCAATATTATCATTACTATCTTCCCGTATTGTGGTGAGAGGTAGGAAGCCGTGGTGGCAGTACATTTCCTGTCCTTTAAACCCCGGAAGTCTGTACCCTTTAGCCGTTTCTCAATATGCGTTCTTGTGTGGACTTTTGTTCTCGTGGACTCGTGAAACGTCATCAGTCACAGCCAGAGTACTGTTCCAATTCTCAAGTCCGCATCTGGCCGAGAACGGTCATAATACCCGGATGTGACTCGCCCCGCCCATTTTACCGGGCATGCATCGAAGCAGGCTCGTCTGTTCTTGTGAGAGACATATATCCCAGAATGCATTTCACCTCAGCAAGCTGCGATGGCAGATGAGATACTTGCGTGCGTAAACAAAGACCGCCTACTGTGGTGACGTCATCAAGTCAGCTGCTGTTCCAATTGCGGAAATGTCCGTTCTCCGTTCTCCCGTACCCGTGAGTCAGGACTCCCGAGTCTGTCTCCCGAGTCTATTCTCGCGGGAACGCGAGTCCGTTCTCGCCGTCTTAGGTATTGAGAAACGGCCACTATCACCCGGCACGAGCCACTGCCAAGTTCCCTCTCCGCCTCTCTTGCGGTCTTCATCTCTCTCCCTCATGCTCTTTCTGCCTTTCCCCCCTTCCGTCCTTTCCTGTTTTGCCCTCCTAGACGCTCCCAAGCCTCCTGCTGAAGACAGTTTCATCATGCTCGATGACTTTGTGGTACCCGAGGCGGAAGGAGCAGGAAGGCTGAAGAGATCACCCATTAACTCCAACAGGGTGGGGGGTCTGAATGTGGAGACGCTGGTGGTGGCGGACAGGAAGATGCTGGAGGAACACGGCAGGGACAACGTTACCACTTACGTCCTCACCGTCATGAACATGGTGAGTGGTGGGAGAAGGGAGCAACATGGGACATAGTGAGGGTTCTACTGCTCGGCTCCTCCCAGCAGGAGGACCAATAGAACCATTCTAGTCTCAACTCTCGTAATAACATGAGCGGTGAAGACAATTTGTCTCTTTTGCAGGTTTCCAGCCTTTTCAAAGATGGCACTATTGGGACGGACATCAACATTGTAGTGGTGAGCTTGTTGCTACTGGAACAGGACCCGGTGAGTTGACTGATACTAAAAATCCCACCTAAATATGTTGTTTTGCTGTTATTACCGGCGATGGATTGATTCACTCTGACTCTGTATCTAATTTTTTTTCCTAGCTGGGCTTGACCATCAACCACCATGCTGACCAGTCCCTCAACAGTTTCTGTCAATGGCAGTCAGGTCTGGTGGGGAAAGGTGGGAAACGGCACGACCATGCTGTTCTCCTCACTGGATTGGACATCTGTTCCTGGAAGAATGAGCCATGTGACACCCTGGGTAAGACAGCTAACCATTAGCAGGACAACGACGGCGTTCTGTGAGACGTGGGAGCTGTCTTCAACAGTCCTCAGCTGTCTCGCGCTGGCGACTTCCCACAATCCATTGCTATTGCTAGTCAGGTTGTGCATTTTGGGCATGTCGAAGGGGGAAGAGGTGATACTGAGGGTGTGGACATTCGAACAAGGCTACATTTTATTGGGAGTGTTTCTAACCCTGTCGTAAAGCCGAGTATGTGTGATTGCAGATAGTGACAGGCAAGAAATCGGAGGTGGTGTGACATGCAACAAAGGCAAACATCACCTCGACTAACTGTCACAGCTCCTTGTCAAGTATCCTGCCACAGTAGTCTGTCAAATCCGTGTGAAAAACAACCAAACGTGTCGAACGCAGAGGTCTCGGTCGGCAAAGTACAACAAAAAGACAAACCAATGCGGACCAAGGATCGGGCTTAACCCGCCTGAAGTGACCAGCATTGCACTTTAGGATGGGCTTGTGTTCAGTGCATGACCACATCTTTACGCCTGTTGGAACAAAAGGCAGCTGAACCAACATCAACGCAGCCAACTAAGCTTGACTAATACCATAATCATATTGCTTTCACACCACTTGTTGTTGCTAATCTCATAGCAGCTCCGTCTCTCATTAACTGTATGAGGTAGGAAGACAAAAAGTGGAAAGGTGACTCAGTATTAGAGGCATTTATTAGCTGTATGTTTTTAATGTTCAACATCTGGATATTCATCAACCATGTGTTGATATTTTTACCGTACGTGCTCTTATATCTTGGGTCCGTTGGGGGGGGGGGGGGCTTCATCCAGAGAAGAGGTGAGAAAAACCCCACAGAACACAGAGCATTTTCATCAGCTTGTCTTGTTCCTCCAATAAACCAAGCGGCCATCAAAGTCTAAGAACAGAAAGGCTTTTGATGTTGCAGCTGGTGTGAAATCTCCCGCCACGCATTTATGTACGCGATATGCAAATATGACAGACATTTGTTGTCTGCCAAATGTGTCAGACTTTCTAACGGAAAGAATGTGCTCGGTTGCACCGCAGGGGAAGGGACAGCAGGATGTGATGGTTTGATGTTTGGTTTTGTTCATCTTTTGAAGCGGTTCGTACCAACAAAGTGTTTACGCAGATATTTTCCTCTGCTATTGGGCTCCTCGTCCGCACGTTTGAAGTCATTGAAAGAGATATTTCTGAAAAGAAAAGCGTTACTTTGTACCCGCGCGGACATGTAGGACGGAGTTTTTGGTAAACAAAGACGTCCTCTCCCCAATTAGCGTGCCTTAAAAGGAGCAGAGTGCACGATTTAAAGATGTATCTCTGCACCATCCGAACACCTTTTTTGCTGTCACTCCTACTTTTTCAATGCAGGTTTTGCCCCAATCAGCGGGATGTGCAGCAAGTACAGGAGTTGTACCATCAACGAGGATACAGGACTGGGCTTGGCCTTCACCATCGCTCACGAGTCTGGACACAAGTAGGACAAAATCCTCTTCGTTTTCGGACCACACAGCTCAAAGCAGATGAAACTTTGTCGGCCATTAATGTAATCCTAGAGCAGTACAGTATACCACTCATAATATTGCCGCTGTGAGTGGTTGTAATGAATGTATGTTTAATAAAATAAACACACAGTCTAACTTAGAGCAACAAACATTCTGTGGATTCGGAGCATTACGTCACCCACCCCATGACGCTTTATGAGAGAATAATGGAAACTGTCTCTGCTCCCATAACTCAGTGTTTGTTTCCATAAAACTCTTAATAATTCTGACAATATGTCAGAATATCTATAAGATGCACAAGATAAGACTCAAGGCCAAAAACTGTGGATAAATTAACAAGGAAGTGAGTGCTAAACATGTCGCAGTGATTAACGAGCAAGTTAGCATCAGCAAGCATGAGGGATTTTCTGAGGATTATTTAATTACATCGTGTGGCTAAACGATGACATCTGCTTGATCTAAAAAATGAATAACCGTCACGCTCTTTCCGTTTGAAAACGCAAACCTCTCCTCACGAGGAACACATTTCTAACCTATTAACCTCCGTGGTTCTTTTCTTTCTTTTTTTAAAATCTAGTTTCGGTATGATCCATGACGGCGAGGGGAACCCTTGTCGCAAGACCGAAGGCAACATTATGTCCCCAACTCTGGCTGGAAACAACGGGGTCTTCTCCTGGTCCACCTGCAGTCGGCAGTACCTCAGCCGTTTCCTCGGGTAGACCTCATGGCCTCGTCCAAGTGCACAAACACTTTCAGCGTTGCCAGTCCGGTCGCTGTTTGTCTCTCGCTGACTGACACGGTTGATTTGCTGTGTTCACCAGAACAGCCCAGGCATCCTGTCTGGTGGACGAGCCCAAGCAGATCGGTCAGTACAAGTACCCCGAACAGCTTCCCGGGCAGCTGTACAACGCAGACACGCAGTGCAAGTGGCAGTTCGGCTCCAAGGCCAAACTGTGCAGCCTGGATTTTGTCAAGGTGAGATCTTTTTTTCTAAAGTACGGAACAACGTGCATCGGCCGTTGGATGCGCCTCACAAGCAATTTCAGCGCCTCCCGCACAGGTTTTAGAGGTTCTCAGCTAATCGTAATTCTCAATTGATATTTTGCGCTCTTCTCATTGGTTAAGGAAGCTGTCGCTCTTTTCTGCGTGGGATTAGTCGGATCCAATAGGAGCGGACGATCCAAAAAAAGTGATTGAACCATGCGATTCGGATGGACTTTTGAGGATTTGGGTCGTAAGGCCTGTACAAAAGCCTCCTTCTAGAGTAGTTTTCAGTACTCTACCAACGTGAGACCGTCCATAATTACTGTCCACACACTGGGCTGTCACTTAGAAATGTTATTGCCCTGGTTCCTCCATGTTTTATCGGACCTGTAGGGTCTGTTAGTGATTTTCTTTTTTTTTTAGGTGATTCTCCAAATTACTCCGCTTGTTTTTGTGGTATATTGATTTATTTCTTCGGCAGTAACATACAAACATATTTACACATCAGGGGTTCCCCCTTAATCCAGACAGATAAAGGAGTTAGAGATTACACGTTTTATCATGGGTGTGCCATTTTCGACAGCAGAGGCCATGAAACAGGCCAGGGGCCCTGAATGTTAAAGCGGGGTGTTCTCTAAGTCTCTGTTTTGAGAAAGTTTGCCAGCAGGTCATACAATCCAACAAAGACACTATACACCAAAGCAAGAGGAGCAAAGAAAAGACAAAGGATGCTTCCTAAAAGCGGATCATTAAACTAATCCCGTATTGTGCAGTGACAAAGAAGCCGATCCACAGCAGTATATGTGAATCGTCCTGGTTTTACACGGACCCCAACATTCCTAAACAAAGGGTCATTCATGTGTCCCTTTGCGTAAAATAAGGCTCCCCAGACGAGATGGAGCACCCGGATCACACAGGGGCTGCGATTGTCTGCTTTCCAGCGCTAATGGTGCAGTGCTTAATTGGCACTTTATTAATTAGCATGATCTTTGCACAACAACCCCGAACCCCCCACATTCGACCCACCTTTCCAAATGCATTCTACAAATTGAATGGGGGAACCTCAGCCTATACCCCCCCCGCCCACCTCTCCGAAGCCTCGTCGTTTGAGCCTTTTTGTTGCCTGCATTCAGTGTTGTTTATTCACATGTAAATCGTGTTTTAAATACCACGGGGTAGCCTACAGCTTTAATTGCTGGGAAATCGACTTTGCCAAATCGTATATATAATGGATTTGCACGCACTTCAGTGCCTGGGCTATTCAGGGTTTCTCCAAATCCACTGCTATGTTTCCCTAACAGAAGATCAAATACTTCTTCATTTGGGCAGAAGTCAGCGGGTGGTAAATGAACCTACACGCTGATTAGCAGATTCAGGGCTGCCTTTCACAGTTGTTGTTTTTTGTCCCTGATAGGCTCATGTAGAATGATTTTCAGCCTGCTGGTATGGCTGTCAATCAGCTGCTCGGCGTCAGAGAATGAGGACAAAGACTCTAACACACACACCGGAGCGGCCTCCATTCTGGCCTCCCTCTTGTTGTCAGTCGCAGTTGGGCGGGTTGCCAGACTCTGCCGCCGGTCTCCCGACCCCCTGCTCTCCCTCCGCGCTCGCCCGCCCGCTCTCTCTCGGCATTGTTGGGTCAGATGACACATGCAGTTAAAGGCCGTTTCATTAAAAAAGTACAGTGATTCGATTTGACACCGAGGCTTTGTGGAGAGGCTTATCCTTGGCGGGGGCTTATTGACCAGCGTGATGGTGGTCCTGGCAGGAGGCAGGTGCTGGCGGGTCGAGGAGGAGGAGAGAGGGGAGGAAGACGAAGCCAAAAGGCTGTCAGTGTACGGGCAGAAAGAGAACTGATGACAGTGAAAAAAAGCCTGTCTCTGATTGACAACTCATACTGTGTGTGTGTGTGTGCTTTTTTGACTTGTCTGACAGGACATCTGCAAGTCCCTGTGGTGTCATCGCACGGGGCACCGGTGCGAGACCAAGTACATGCCCGCTGCAGAGGGCACCGGCTGTGGACCCAACATGGTGAGGAGAGCGTGCACACAGAAATGAACATGCTCGACAGAAGATACACACACGCAGCCCGACGTAGCATTTCCAGCGGAGGACACATGATGGAGACGCTTCGTTGAAGCGTTTCCAGAGAAGGAAATAAGGTGGGGCACACACTTGGATGCCCCTGCGGTAGATAAAAAAACATGAAAAGTGCCTTTTTTATACATTTTCTACCATTTACATACGAACAAACAGGCAAATAAATGAGTGGAAAAAATTATTCTCAAAATGTTCATGTGTTTTTACAACCTGGAAAACTATTAATAATCATACGGTAGTGATAGTGAGTGAATGAGTTCTTCCTCCGTTGGAAATCATTCACCACAGTTTACAGTCCAACTCACTTTAACGCGATGAGCTTGCTGGGGGTCCACACATCTTTCCTGTATAATGACAGATTATCGCCGACATTTTGGGGGCTTAGATGAATGTCTGAATCTCTGATGTCCAGATGTCACGCTGCTTTGGACGGATTCGATTTCAGTGAGTGAAGTGTTAAAATAACTGTTAGAAAGGATGTCTGGGAGCATAACAGCCAAGTAGAAATGAATTGCAAGTTCAAGTATTCAAACTTCCAGTAAGCCAAAGTAAATCTTGGCTTAGAAAGGTGGAGCCGACAGCCTCTGTGCCTGCGCGTCCCCGCAGAAGAGTTCTTACGTCCCCGAGCTGGACGGGGAACAGCCGTATCCCTTCACACAATGGAAAGATGATATTTAGTGAGACAGAGAGGTGATGATGTGTTTGAGCGCAGGGCTTGGCTCGGATGGCCCGGGTGTGGCGCATGTGTGTGTGTCCGTCTGTTTTGGCTGCAGCTATTCAGTGTGTGTGTCCAGGTGTGGTGCCGGGCATTTGTCCAAACCAGGAAACCCGGCCGAGAAACCCGGGACCGACTCTCAAGTTCTGATAAGAGCGATTTCTGTGTGTCTCCTCTTTTTTCTCCAGTGGTGCCGAAGGGGTCAGTGCGTTAAATACGGGGAGCACGGCCCTCGGGCGGTCCACGGCCAGTGGACGGCGTGGTCCCAGTGGTCGGACTGCTCCAGGACCTGTGGAGGAGGGGTCATGTACAGGGAGCGCTCCTGCACGAGCCCGAGGTACACATGCATGGACACGCTCACCTGATTCATACGCTCCTTGTTACTGCTAACCGCTGGCCAACAGATGGCAAAGGGCTTCACTTGTTCACGTAACTGCATTTACGATGAAAAACAGGAGATTGGGCCCAAAAGCAATTCTTGAAAGCCCCGTGTCCCAAAATACTTTCTCTCTGAACACCTGACAGCGCCGTCTGCCAGGTACCTGTCAGCACAGGGAAGCAAACACACACTCTACATACAGGCACACACACACACACACACACACCAGCGCCACATAACGGCCCTCTTCTGTCAAAATGATAGTCCGGACAGACAGACGCACTGACTAGACAGTGTCCCCGCGCTCCACACGAGGACAACCTCCCGATTCCGTGCTCTTTTCCTCTTGCAAGCTGGCGAGACGGTCAGCAAACGTCAACTTTAGCTGCACACTCTCATAAAACGTAATCCCAGAGCGCACATCCCATGGTTATAGCTGCGTGCACGTTATTACAGGCACGTGAGGGATCCTCAAGTTTACTGCTGTTTCCTAAATCCCTCAGAACAATCTGCAGATTTATGGATGGTTTTAGCCGATATTACACTTTTAATACAACCCATTTCTAAATTTATTAGAAATGAGAAGTAAATCAAATTGTGTGCGAATGCCATGAACAACTGATTGTTTTGGCCTGCAGAAGTCAACCAGTGCCAGCAGCACAGACCCTTCCAACGAAATGAGCAGGATGTCTGCAATGGTATTCATGCCATTACAGCCCTTCATACCTTTTTATGTGTAGCGTATGTAATTCATAATCCGTCTTGCAAAGCACACTAACATTATGTTGTTGCTTCGCTTCAAATGTCTATCTATGTGCTAGTATTTTTCTCTGTACGGGAACTAAAAAAAACTGTTAAATTATTTCCCCATCCCAGTCATAACTTTTTACAATTTTATTTTTTTATTTTTACCTTCAAAGGCTGACCAACAGGAAACAAAGTCAACACAGATCACTTAAAGGCACTCCTGATATTTCATATTTAAAACCAAGGAGAAATTAATGTTTAATGCTTTTAACGCTTTAATGCTTAATGATTGAACACAGGTGCACACACACACTTCTGTCTGAACTCAGCGTCCCCTCTTCCCTGTGTGTGTGACTAGGCCGGTCACGATAATCAATATATTGACTTATCGCACCGTATATGGAAATTAACGCGATCATTTTTGGTGCTGCGATATATTATATTCATTTTTACATAAAAAGGTGTGAATCGGTGAACACATTTTCTCTGCACATTGCACCGAGCACGATGCTTCGTCCTGCTCCGTGTCCTCTGCACTTGTTAAGAAAAGGTGTATTTATTATTTGTTTGTATTATTAATTTAGGATTTTTTTTTCACATTCTGATTCCAAAGTCTAAATATTATGAAGAATTAACCGCTGTTAGCGTACTTGCATTATTATGCTATTATATTGTCATTATCTAATCAGTGGCATAAACTGGTTTGAAAATGAGTCTAAATAATATTGTTGACCCAATAAATTCTGGTGCAATATATTGTACAACAACAGTAGTTATTGGGACAGCCCCATGTGTGACACTGGTTTGGTGTGAGAGCAAAGCTGTGCTTTGAGACCCAACTGCCAATGGATGAGGCCTATTACTGTGCGACTGTGGGTGAGTGGGGAGCACGGTCGTCCTCCAATCAGAGGGTTGTCGGTTCGATCCCAGGCTCTGCTGACCCGCATGTCGATGTGTCCTTGGGCAAGACACTTAACCAGACATTGCTCCTGTAGCTGCGACTATCACAACTCAGACAGAGACCCAAACGCAGATGTGAGGAATATTAAATGTCTTTTAATGAAGAGGAATTCGGGCAGGCAGTGTCGTTGTCGGAGGCAGGCAGGAGTTCGGTACACAGGAGGTCGGAGGTACAGAGGTGGCAGGCCGTGTCGTTGTCGGAGGCAGGCAGGGGTCAGTACACGGGGAATCTCTAGAATCGACTGGAAACTACGGGGATACAACGCTGGTAAGACCTGGTGAAACACACAAGACGAACTGGCAACAAGAACAGGGAGAAGACACAGGTTATATGCCCAAGGGATAATTGACAAACAGGGAACACCTGGTGTGGGAGGAGACAGGGGAAAAACAGGTGAACACAATTAGGGCGTGACAGCGACTAGTGTGTGGATGTTAGTTACTGATGTGAATGGGTGAATGATGTCATATAGTGTTAAAGCGCTTTGAGTGGTCGGAAGACTAGAAAAGCGCTATACAAGTACAGTCCACTTACCATTTACAGGACTACATACGACCATTTGGACCTCATGCCTCAATTTGTGGCCGGATGCTGAGCCATCCAATGAGCAAGTGGAGATTGACATGCCCCAATTAGACCCAATTACACTTGTGTCAGGCACTTTATATCATGAACTATATACAATTCAAACAAGATATATATAAAACTGATATTTTCAATGCTTTAGTTGTTATTTTATCCTATAATTACGCTTCAACTGACCTTGGTCAAAAAAGGGTTTCAGCTTTTCTAACTCCCACAACCCCCATTGTTTATACACTTATTACTCCAACTGCTAATGTTCACACTTTAACTTTCATCATCTTTCAGTTTATACATTATGAACTTGCACCAATTTCTTTCGACTGACTCCAGGCCCATTCAATAGATGTAACTTCTTTCAGCACTTTTACTCTTCTAATTCTTCAACTTGACTCAAGGCTTCCGTTCACAGTTACACTTTGAACTGAACTTAAACCAAATGTTGAACATATTTCATCACTTCCATTTAAACTTCTCTTACTGACTAAATTGAGTGCCGCTTCAACTACGACTTGAACCTATTTCAGTTTTCCAGCTATTTCCAATGTCAAATCCCTTTTTACTGCGTTCCACTGGCTTCATCGCTGCTTACTTAGACACCGATTCCGTCCGTCAGTCCACTCGTCTCTTAAGCCTCAAAGACCAAAAGGGTGCGATGCACACTACCAGAACTAGCAGACCAAAACGGGCCAAAGAGTCCTTTAAACCAGGTTAGCTGTCAACTTCATTTATAATTCCTGTGGCACTAAAGAGCCTTTTGTAGCAGCAGCTGCTTCAAAACGGGTTGGTGCTGCCAAACGGAGAGTTTCGGGGTCAGTGGGACAGAGAGGGGATGGAAAGACGGGGAGGGCTAAATATTAAGTCTAACAATTGGCGATACCATTTCCGAAACACGCAATGGGTCAACTGGCTGCCATCCCATAAACATGTGGAGACAGCAGAATTAGTTTGGTGAATGTCTCGTGGCATCTCTTCACTATCCTCAACCCACTCGGCCACCCGAAGACGCTCACGTACCCCCGAGTCACGTCTCAGTGTTTGTCCGTGGTAATCCCTGCGATTACTCTTTGCAGGGCACTTAATCTGGGCAGAACAAGAAGGATTAGCCCGACTGCCTGTACACTATGGGCGCTACGACCCGATGACACAATGGAGACACATAGTTTCTTGTCAGACGTGCAGTACGTGTAGATGAATCCATGTCTCTAAAGGTCTGTCAAAATCGTATAGAAGTTGACCAGACCAACGTTTTCACATCTGCCCCACAATAAAATCATCACTGGGCAGCAACAGTCTTAAAATGCGTTTAATTTGATTTGGCACAAACTCGAGTAAAAGAGTTCAACCGCGTCACCCGTTTAAAGCCGAAGCCTCTACGAGTTGCTCCCGGACGGAAAATGAGTCTTCTTTCCCTCCATCCCTCCTCTTCCCTGTAGACCACCTGCCAGATCAAACACAGTCAACCTAATCCTCACCAACAAGCCCGGGAGATTAGGTTCACCATCTTGACCTGGTTTTGTTGGAAGGACATTCTGTCGCACACACTCCATTTGAAGCGAGCGGGGGTGTTTGATGAGGGGGCGATTGTTGGGGTAGCTGCACCCTCTAGACTTGTAAAAGAGATGTGCTTAGCCCGTGGCAGAGCAGCGGAATCAGGATCCATTTAGGAAGTTATGTGAGGGGCGGGGAGGGGAGATGGTGACCTCGGACTTTAAAGTCTCGGCTTCTGTCGCCGGGCAGATTTACCGCCCTCCCTGGGCATTTAAGCGTCCTTAAGAGCTCCGAGGGCTGCGTGGGAGCTGCGATTTAGATTTAGAAGAGGAATGAATACAACAAAATTTGACATATCTGGTTTATATGTTGATGGAAGTAGATTTTCAGTTCAAATGATAATGGAAAGCAGAGAAAGACAAAGAAGAAAAGGAGGTCAAGAAAACAGGAGGGTTTCAAAGCTCGGGGAGGCCCGTCCATAATCCAGGAATTGAATTTAACTTTCTCAAGTAAATGGTCCTTGATCCGTGCTGGGCTCTGATCAGAAGTCCTTGGCTGATATACAGCGTAGTCCCCCACTGGCCTGCCGTAAGCACATTCGCATGTGGGGTGAATTTGTCTGCAGCTAAGTCTTAATGTGATCAAGCCTGTACACAAACCTGGGCCAAATCCCCCTCTCACCAAAGGAAACAAGATTGGCACCGAGCAGATTTACACACACACACACACACGCACACACACACACGCACACACACACACGCACCTTGATGAGCTCCATCCCTCTTGGCAGCGAGGAAGCTGTTTGAGTGAGTCCAGGTCTGAATGGAGGGGATGAACAGTCTGCGTTAAATACAAATATAGTGAAACAACATGCAGTTTGGCTTCTGATTGTTGCTGTCGTTCGTTTGATTCAGGCGTGTTTAGCACTGTTGCGTTGGTGCAAGAAATCTAAAATAAATAGAGCAAACTCCTGCTGGTGTTAACCGTGTAATGCTTTTTGAGTTCCTTTTCCAAAGTGGTTCATTACACTGCACCACTTACTGAATTGTTTTTATTGGACATGTTTGATCAGCATGGTTCCCCAGTCTCCGACCACTTTGGTAAATAGCTAAACTCAATTTTCTCAGCAGGTTGTTGTGCTGGAATGCTCAGCATGAGTCTCAAAAGCCTGAGAAGTCAGACACGGCATCCTTATGTACGCTAGATGTCCAGGCTCTTGTAGTGAATGCTTTCATCCCTTTTAGATACAAATTAAAGCTCCATTACGTGTTTATTTTCTGTATCGGCTGTTTTTATTAAGAAGCAGTAATTGTGTGGAAACTTCTTTTCAAAAGTCCCATGAAACCAACATTATGTGTAGTCCTGTTTAAAACTATACTATATACATTGAATGAGATGGAATCATTGGAGTCATATTTTTTCATGGATGACAGGAAATGTAACAGAGAAACTTAAATGTTCTTAATTTTGTTTCTTTTGTCTTTTCAGTCACAATGATTTGGAGGTGTAAAAGTGTCCCTTTGCACCTTCAAGATGCTCTTTTCTTATCAATATCAACTTTACATTTTGTTTTTAAGAAAAAATATATACATCTGACAATCTTGACATAAAATAGTTTGTTGTTCACTTATTAAACGATGAGTGAGTGCTGGGGGAGTACGGGGGGAGGAGGGGGGGGTTCCCTTCTCGGGGTCGTCCAATCGACGGCCAACGCGAGAGCTGTGTCAGGTGATTGTGAAGCAGTTGGGATCAGGACCTCTAAATGGGAGGTGCTGGAACTGTTGCCCCACTGACCCGACCCCAGATAAGCAGTTGAAGAAGAGATTCACAAATCCGTGAGAAATATTGATCACTTTGAAGCACAGGGAATCAAGTCCTCGGGCGGAGAGGCGTTTATCCAACTTGAGAGATGAATGGCGTTAGAAAATGTGTCCAAAAGTTTGACTGGTACATTAAATGTAGCGCTACTAGTGGTCAACATGCAAACGCCTGCATCTGGAGATGCATAGATCCATATGAAATATGTAGTGTGATTAGTAAAGACACTAGTAAGTTCATCGCCCATGTGCATTGTGGGTGTGGTTCCCTCAGCTTGCTTCACCTTCTCTGCACAGCAGCGTGGCATCAGGGAACTTTTTATTTAGTGCTGTATTGATCTGCGATTTCACTTTTTTGACACATGAGTTTAAACATTTTCTTCTTCTGTTCTTTCTTGTGTGTCACGCAGGCCACAAAACAATGGTAAATTTTGTTCGGGCTCCAGCCGCCTCAACCAACTGTGTAACTCTCGGCCGTGTCCTCCTAAGTCTGTGGGCTTTCGGGCCCAGCAGTGTGCAGAGTACAACAGCAAGCCCTTCAGGGGCTGGTACTACAAGTGGAAGCCCTACACCAAAGTGGACGGTAAGCTGACCCAACAAGTACAAAGTCGGTTCTGTCTTGTGGTTCATTGCATCATTTGCCCGCAGGTTGTTTTGGTGCTTTTTTTTCTTCTCTCTTCTTGCACTGTTGAGAGATGTTTTTGTGTAATTATTTATTCTCTATTGTAAAAAGACACCGTAGCCAAGGATTATGAAGACAATTTCAGATTCCTCAGTGCAAGCCTTTTCTCTCCTTAATTCCGCAGATCTTTTTACTATAAACCCCGTTCTACCTGAGGAATTATTCTTTTTTCATGAAGTGGTTCTGTAATGCCAACCGCTGTTTACTGCGCCAATGATTAGGGCCAAAAAGCTGGAGGAAACTATCACTGTGTAATGTGCAGGGGGAGACGTGTAGCCACCTGCACCCTCTGACACAGTGGGGATGGATTTAAATAGGAAGCCTACGGGCCAGCTTTGTTACACAGAGCGAGGGAGAGAGAGCCGTCGGCTTGGCCGTCGTCCCGGCCCTGTTTAAGCTCTTGATGAATGCGAGGTGATGTAGAGAGGAACGTATTCCGAGCTGCCTTCTGGGACCGCGGGCCAAGTCACCTTCACCGTCATTTATTTGAATCAAAGACTGCTGCAGCGGCTTGTCTGGGATAACTAATTTGAACCACATAATAAAACTGCAGCCGCACATGAACGCCCCATGGGTGCATTCATATTCAGCTCCTGTCCTTTCCAATTCATCTTTATTAGGAGTTGCGCACACTATGTGTGTAAACGGTTGCCGCACAGTAGCAACTCTCAACGTTTACCAAGTCATAGAAGATCGTGTGAAAACCCGGAAGTTGCATTTCCTCCTTATGGACCGTTGCGTTTGTCTGTCGGTTCTCCGTTCAGACGAAGACATCTGTAAGCTGTACTGCATTGCGGAAGACTACGACTTTTTCTTCGCCATGTCCGGCAAGGTGAAGGACGGCACCTCCTGCTCGGAGCACAAAGGAGACATCTGCATCGACGGAGTGTGTGAGGTACACCGTCTGGATGGATCCCCTGTGCTGCTCAGTGAAACCTTCACGTCCCGTCACCCTCGGCTTCGCCTATCCGCTGATACAAAGGAGGGTTCAGATATCAGCGTTTGATTAAAAATATCACGCTCCAGTTAATCAGCGCTTTCCTCACCAGCCTTTTTAAACCAAAACCGATAACAAGTAAATAAATGGATGCTTTATTTGAAACAAAGCCGTCATGATTTCCATACCAGCAGCCGAAGGCAGCTCAACATAATTATTATTATTACAATTATGATTGTGTTATCATTATTTCTTAATGTAATTAATAAACGGTAATGAGAAAATATCCCTGAAGTTATTTCAGTATTTTTTCAGTTTGTCTTTCTTTGAACAAACTTTGAATCTCAAATTTATAGCTATAAATTAAATTTTAAATCTATAAATTTTATATTTTCTCTGCACACAATCCGTATGGTAATTCTGTATCACCCTCCCTAACTATGTTGTCCTTATCAACCACATGTCAGTGCAGTAGCTCAAGGAAAATGAATGTTAACACAATTATTTACCCCTGAATTGTCACAATACATAAGTTTACACCTCTTCATGTGTCCACATCCAAGTTTTTGTGTCTTTGCGTGCGCAGGCCGTGGGCTGTGACCAGATACTGGGCTCCAAGGCCTCCCTGGACGCCTGCGGAGCCTGTAAGGGAGACAACTCCACTTGCAAGTTCTTCAAGGGCCAATACACCCTTCAGCACAGGGCCAACGGTGAGCCGGTCTTTGTTTGGTGTCTCTGTCAGCGTTCACACTGGAGTTTGTGTGATGAAACCTGACATGAGAGTGAGAGAACAGCAATCAAGAACTCATTGGTTGATGTTGTTTCCTCATCCTTCTCTCCCCAGAGTACTACTCCATGGTCTCAGTCCCGGCTGGGGCACGAAGTATTCGTGTCTATGAAATGGAGGCGTCCCCCAGCTACCTGGCTGCCCGCTCCCTAAAGAGGAAGTACTACCTGACCGGCGACTGGACCGTGGACTGGCCGGGGAAGTTCCACTTTGGCGGGACCGTGTTTGACTACCAGCGATCTTTCAACAAGCCGGAGAGCCTTTATGCTGCCGGCCCTACTAATGAGACGCTGGTGTTTGAAGTAAGCCGCCGCCGCCGGGAGACGTCCGTTAGGAGCAATTGACAGTGACAGGGTCCCTCGCAGAGCTGCCGCGTCCCTGCTTTTTCTTTTTTTTTCTTTTTATACGTCTGGATATGAATAGGCTTAGATGAAAAAATGTGTTTGGGGAAGTCGGGAGAAGCCGGGTGGTTCCGCGGTGCATCTGCCCGATGCTAATTGTGTTCAGTGATTGGTTACGTCAGGGATGATCTGGGGATGGGTGGCTGGAGTGGAACGCTTTAATCAGATAAATTGGGGGGGGGTTCAAGCTGCCTGTCTTGTGCAGAGCAGCCCTCTTTGTGGGTGAAAGAAAGAGACCATAAGGCTAAAAAGCGGAGGAAGGAGAAGACAAGGACGGTTCGTGGCATGTCAAGGATTCATTAAAATCAAAGTCAAACTTTTTAAACGGTCCTTCCATCCAGAACAAACCGTCAAAGGGAATTTAAGATCCTCCTCCTTTGCCACTCTGATGACTGTCCATTAACTGCAGTCGCACTGCTTTTAAAATCCACTCTGCAGTCTATCTGAACGCGTTTTCAATATTTTCGCTTATTGCAGATATATCTCTAATCGTGGACAAAAATAATAGACAAATCTGCTTGAACACAAAAGGGTAAATGGGTAAATACGTTTGGTGTAATTTAGTTGAAACGACCCCCCCCCCTGAGCATCAAATGCCTTCGAATGAGCGTGAATCAGCCGTCGTCTCACATGGCAGACGCCTGCCCCTTACATGGTTCTGCCTGCTCCAGCGTAACACAGTCACCGTGTTTGTCCACGTACACACTCAAAGCCGTGGATGTGACCCCCCATGGCCGCTGATCTCAACACTGCTTTGTTGCAGCCATGTGATTCGTGGCTAACAGAGCGAGTAAAATCCCCAAGTCAACCAGCCGTTGGAGGACGGGATGCAAAGCATGAAGTGAGATGGTTGCTCTGAGTGAGATGTTCTGCATAGTTTGCTGGTGTGATTTATGGTCCCTTTTTGCGCCTCGCTGTTGTTCGCCGTGTTATGTCAGAAACCGGAGCTTTGAGGGGAGGGAGGCTCTTTACCGGTCGTGCAGCGGCAGAATGTGATGCTGGACAGGCCTTTCCTCCAGGGAGAAGAAACAATTACTCCACAAGTGGCTGAGTCATTATCCTTATGGCTGCAGGGCTTAGGAGATGGCTGGTGGGAGGTGTGGGGTGTTCTTCTTACGTAGCTTCGTCAGAGAAAGCATTTATTTTCTTTTGCACTCTGAACCCGAGGTGTGGAAACACAAGTGGAAACCAGTTGAAGAGCAGACATGTGGGCTTTAGTTCTCGTCTCCACACGTCGACAAAGTCGTGGTCGGATAAAAGCTCGTCTGGGACACTGGAACACTGCGGTTGAAGCACAGATGAACACAGGAGCGATACCGGTGGGGAATGTCTGACTGGTCACTGTTTGACCAGCAAATGTCCCTTTGCTCCAGCTGTTTGAGTAAAGACACTTGTGGCCAGCTGCTGTAGTCGCCATTGGAACAGCCAATTGTTGCGTCCTGTGAGATGAATTCCTGCAGAGATGCAGACTAGTAACGATCTAGATGTCATTTACACAAGGTACATTTTATGATAAGTTAGGAGAAACTTCCCCTTTTGAAATGTCTGCTATTGGGAGCTGGTGATGATTCGGGTTTTTTTTTGCCTTCTGGCGTGTGGCTTCATGAACGAAAATGTCCGTACGTGAGGCAGTTTGTTGGTCCAGACTGAAATATCCCAACTGCTATTATATGGATGTCCCAAAAAATGACTGAGATGTATCTCAACATATACGGATTAGCAATTTTGCGATAAACAGAAACTTTGTTCGTATCGTTTACGATAAAATAACTAATGCAATGGCTGAAGGGAATTTACTAATAAAATTCCCATGGCTGTATTTAGTAGTAGCAGCACGCTAATACCATAAGAAAAGATGGATAACATAGGGAATTAATACCTATATTAATATATAAAAGTGACATTATGGCTTCTACTAATCCTACTAAACCACTGGTCTGCATAGATGGACAGTAAAATCACCCAGAGGAGGAAGAGACATGGCTAAGTCGGACAGTCTCCCCCTGCTTGTCCATGTGTCCCAGTCATACGTCTGCTGCGGATCTGCAGATGACACGAGCATAATCTCCATAAGTATGTCGTGTAATTACAAAACGAAGAAACAGGGTTGATAGGGTGAGAAGGATGGAGAGAGAGACAGAGAGAGAGAGATTAAAAGATTAAGAATTCTGCAATTGAACTCTTTGGCTGTGAGAGGTTAAGGCCACAGCACGGCTTCTTTATCTGCAAATGGAAACAGCCAAATGAAGGAAAGCGAGTCAGTTTCTTTTCCCGCAGTTTCATCTGTTTCACACATTTGACTTTACTGCCGCTGTCACAAGGAAGAATAGTCGGCGGAAGGCATACACATCAATCACTCACAGACTCTTACTCAGCTTTTCGTGAGGTGTGAGTGCAAACTGTGACAGGGTGTTCACATCTGTACAGCTGCTCAGCTGGTAGGGGGGAGGAAGAAACGGGAAGGTAACAAGAGGTCCAGGAACACATGGCTGAGGTCTCGGATGATACAGAGAAGGACTGCTATTGGTCCATCTTGTGGTACAGCGAGGGCCACGTCACGCCAGGCCGGGGCAAAGCTCATTGTGGGCCCACAAAGTCTGAGTGACACATTATAACTCGTCATCGTCTCATGTGAGCTGATGAGTGGTGTGGTGGCGAGGTTGTGAAAACACACACTGGGGTCTGATGCAGTCAGGTCGGAGGATAGGCTCCTGTCAATCACGCATGGTGGACCTGGCAGGCACATTATTCAGTATTGCTCTCTAGAAAATAAATGTTCTCAACGAGACTTTTGCCAAACCATAGTTTTATACAAGCATATTGCAGCATATGCTGCCAGCTTAAAGCGGTTCCCCCGAAGTAGTTATTTGATCTGGGTGCTGCAATCGCCTTGTGCAATTAGATAATCTATATCTACATTAGCTCTGTGAATGTGTGGACCACGCAGACCCTTCATAGACGCACAAAGACTGCAGCTTTATCCTCACTTGCTTTTCCATTGTCCTTCGTACCAGCCCAGTAAAACATGCATGTAGCCTTCTGTTTTTACTTAATACGCATTTACTGGAGTAATTAGCCCAAATCCGTCTGATTAAACTGAAGCTCTGTCGGAGTTTGGAATGACTACCGCCAAGGAAACATGCATGTACTGCACCTGTGTCATTTGGTGACAACTGTCACCAAATGAACTTAACAATCAGTTCATCAATTTTTCATTACAAGTGACTTGCTTTTAAAGCGCTGCCTCACCTCTGGCCTTTCCCCACGTGACCCTTCATTTTTACCTGCTCCAGCTGCTCACTACTCTGCAAACACTGTACCACCATATGTTGGTGTGTTCCATTGGACAGCTCTGTGATTCTTGTCACATAAACACATCTCTGTTTGCCTCCTGTCTCGAACCATACAAAAGGACAAATGTACAAGCAGCAGAAGGTGATCGGCACAGTCAGCGGGTGCAGAAGATTAGATAGAAGATTTTACAATGTACTCTGAAAAAAACAATACTGGATAGAATAGACATTTGCCAAACAAATGAAGGATTCATACCCAACCAAACCCAACTTAATTAAGAAGGGCTTTGGAATAAACTAAACTGGACTAAACACTGTCCAACTCAGTGACTGAGTTCTCCACCACGGCAGTGAATCCCATGTGTGTTATGCTTGTCCTCTAATGGCTACGTCTGCTCTTGTTCAGCTGTTGGACTCGGGCTTGAGGGCAATGTCCAAATAAATCTCCTGAATAGAAAAGGGTAACTCAGAATCACCAGCCCGTAAAGGATGTGGTGCGTAAATGGAAGTCATCCCTCGGTACTGTACTGCGCTGTCAAAACAAAAAGAGCTGGTAACAGTGCGGCCGGCCAGTTTGGACTGGGGACATATTGGGCTCCTTAATATTTCTGAAGCCAGCTGGTTTGTGGGCAGCGGCTCTAAGGGCTCAGTGGGTATTTAATGGCTGAATTAGGCTGCCACGTTGTCCGTGGTCCTACCTTTAGTTTTTTGCAGTGGAATCCGTAACAGATGGGCCGTGGCTGCTCTCCTCTCGCTGCACATGAACCAACCCTGTGGTTCAAACGGTGTGAGGCACACTGGATATGTTCTTGGAGCTACAGAATACATTTGTGACACCTATTAAAATATATGGAGTCAAAGGCCAAACAATAATAGTGTGTAGCGTAGTTTTGACTCTGTTACACTGCAAAGAAAACTAATCTCTCAAAAACAATCAAACCAATTTTCCTGTCAAAATGACCACTGAAGCCCAACAGTTTAACGTTTGACGTTAAATGATTTGAACTGCTGCGCCCACATATTACAAAAATGACTCTATATCTGCTGCTGCTAAATAAATTAAGAATTCACTCAATATGCCTGTAACACGATGCAGGCCTGAACCTTTCCCTAGCTGTTTGAAGTTATTCTGGTGCATTCACACACGTTTTTTTAAAGCTTAACGATAACATTTGTTGGATGTTTTTTCTACTTAAAATCCGCATTATTTTTACTTTCTGAAAGCTTTCAGAGAAAGTTAGTTGAATGTTCTAAGAAGGTTACTCAAACGTTTCCTTGAAGTTAAAATACCTTATTTGTGTTTCTGACTAAAGAAACAATGTTAATGTTGTGTTATGTTATATATTGTTGTGTGTTACGTTATGGAACCTGATCCTGAAACGTTAACTTCCCCTGTATTTTAAAGCTGAAACTTTCTCCTAATTAAAACCATCATTCTTATTACCGTCCCAGAATATTCCGGGAAAGTTACTTCAATATTTCACATTGTATATATACGTATATACACGTAATTATAAATCATTCAAAAGCATGATGCCCTTGAAAGTCTCCATAATCGGGAATGAATGTGTATCTCATGGTCCCCTGCCAAAGATAGATCGATGACCATGTCCAGTTTTCTTTCCCAGATGCTTTCATGGGTAAAAATACATACTTATACTAATGTATTTCTGACGTAGCGTGCTTCTACCTGACAGATCCTTCTGCAGGGGAAGAATCTGGGCGTGGTGTGGGAGTACACGCTGCCTCGCGCTGAAAGGAAACCCGACTACAGCTGGGGCGTGGTGCGCTCCGACTGCTCCGCTCCGTGTGCTGGAGGTGAGGTTCTGTGGAAGGATGAAACTAAAGAAGAACTCGGCATGTGTCCGCGTGTCACATCACTTCGAACGCTGGTTTCCCTACATGACAGCTTTTGTAAAGCCTGGGTATCTCCCCATGCTGAAGCAGCTTTTTCTCTCGTGGCTTTGAGGTTTACACTATACCAATAGGTACATGTGTGTATGCAAAGTAGCTGAAGGTGGTTACATTAGAATAAAGTGTGATAAGCAATGATTCCTTTATAATAGCTTTACACTTCAAAAGCATAACAATGCTTTTTCTTTGTCCAAGACATGCAGCTCCACCTTCCTTCTGCACAAGCTCATGTATTAAGCTACCAAAGACTAAGATGTATGTATTTTTTTGAAAAAACGGCATTTCACCTCAAGCCAAAAAGCTTAATACTCTTAACTTGCTAACTAGAGATACATCTCTCAGCTAGAAATAACAGGCCTGCTGACTGACTGGAATACCCGATGTTTCAACATTCTTTTACAGAATGTAGTGCATTTTGTGATGGCAAAGACACCAAGTGAACAATGAGAATAAAAAAGTGGTGTATTTCAATGGGTTTACTTAACAACTCACAGAAAAGCTCTGCTCCCTCCACAGTTGATGGCTGCGTGAGTATCATCATCATAATAATAATAATAACTCCACAAACTCTCCCGTTCTCACCATGTTCCAGGTCGTATCTCCACCAAGGCCATCTGTCTTGAGGACCAGAAGGTTCAGGTCAACTCCACCATGTGTATTCCTCACACCAGGCCGGCACTGGGCTCCCATCTCTGCAACACGCAGCCCTGCCCTGCATAGTGAGTGTGTGTGTGTGTGTGTGTGTGTGTGTGTGTGTGTGTCATTGCCTCGTGTGCCGTTGGCTGTGGGATATGTGGCATCTTCGTGTTGACAATTGTTCAGGAACCTTAGGCGCTGTTTTTATTACAGGCACACACACACACACACTGTGGTGGAGCAGTCTAGAGGTGCCTTTGCACCATTCGCCGTGGCAAGCCACCACTTTTACTCCGCCTGCGTTCTCCTCCTCTCCCCTCATCCACCCTTCTCCGCCCACTCTATGTGAGAAGCTGTTCCTTTGTACCTTTCTTAACTTATTCTCCAGCTGTACGTCCCCCATGTGTCACGTGGATTGTCATCACTCGACGGCAGCAAATGATGTCAATGATGTCATGACTAGGATGTTGAGCTTGGTCTTACTACTTGATGACGACAGGTTCCGTCTGGATTCCAAGCAGATGATTCAGTTCACAATGAGTGGAGTCCTAACTGAAATACATACTGTAAACTTAACACTTTAAGAAATGCAAAAGCATCTATTTTTAAAATAGCTGCATGTTGTCATAACAGAATGTTGGACTTTAAAGTCAGATGTTGGCTCATTTATTTTTGACTTATAGGTTATTATTCTTTTATCTAAATAAAAGAATAACATGTATGAATAAAATATGAATAATGCATCCTCAGACTTTCCCATCAGCCTCAGCTGCAATCTGCTTCAAGCAACTAGCAAATGTTAGCATGCTAACACAGAAATCTATGATGTGAAAATGGTTAACAGCTTGCATGCTAAGCATTAGCCCGTTAGCGTGGTGACATTAGCATGTAGCTCAAAGCACCGTGTTGCCCAATTATAACCTCACACAGCTGCCAGGCTGCCTAAATCTTTTTAAAATAATTCAAACCTTTAAAGAGTTTTGTTTGTAGCTATTCAAACATATCGTAGGTGGGTGGATTTCTGTCTGAGGATTCGGTATAATACCGTTACGGCCCAGTCAGAGGCTCATTCCAGTCGAACCCAGTTTTTTGTCATAATTCCGCAACATGTTTTAAAGTCTGTAAAATGGCCCTTTTACTGTAACAAGCACTTGCCAATGAGAGGGAGAGACAAGAAAGTGAGGCAGGGACACATCTACACCAATTCGGAGTGATTTTTGGTTTCATCATTCCTCCCAAAATATTCTCATCCCAGAGCGCCTTTCGGTGGCTAAAATCATGCTCATGTTTTATCTCAGCTCTTGTCTAGACATTGTGCTTAATGGCATGCATTTTTAAAGGAGGCTGTGCATTCGGGGACCGGTGCAGCGGGGTAACAAGTTGAAACAGCACCAAATGAATGGCCTCTCTCCAAAGTAGGGCTTCGGCTCGGGGAACTGGAGCTTTCCTGATTTACAGCGTTCAGAAAGAGAACACACACACATCCACACGCGCGAATACAGCTCTCATGCACACACATTTTTACGAATGTTCTGTATGTCGCTAAAATATGTTTTTCAGGTCCAAACCCCGCGGTAAAATGAGAAAGGCAGCCTGCGTGTGTGTGTGATGTTAGCCATGTTGTCTTTTCGGCCTCCATCAGCCGTGCCACAACAAGTCCGAACTGAACTCTCTCCGGTGTCAGAGGTTGAACAAGCCAGACTGCTATCGGTTACACCTCCAGCATGCAGCCTTCTGTTTCTCACCAAGTTTCCCACCACCCGAGAGGGGGCTAATCCCGGGCACGTCGTATCTCTTATCTTGGCGAAAGGTATTAAACAGCTCCCCCCCTTTTGTTTGAGTAAAAAAAAAAAAATGGAATAGTCTGAATAAATAACCACAGCATGTTTGTCCATTCAGGAAAAGAAAGCAGTGTGGATCCTACAGTAGCAAACACCATTTCTCTGCTGGGTGTGTGTACGGGCCAATTTATGGGCTCTGCACAGGAAGAAAGTTAAGCTGAATGAGCAGCATGAACGCTTTAATGACTGCATTAGGAGCTCCAGGATGCACACGCAACCATTGAAGAGCTCAGCAGGGAAAAGATGAATCGACAATCATGTGAGATGCATGTGCGCTGTGTGTGTGTGTGTGCGTTTGTGTGTCTGACGGGAGCGGGAATGTAAAAGTGCGTGCTTATCTCTGCAGCGTGGATCTCGGGTGCTGACAGGCCCGTCCATGTTTTATTGTGCAGAGACGGCAGGATTCCCACGGGGCCCGGCCCGTCTAGCCATGCAGAGGCAGTCAAACAGCCTCACCCCTTCCCTCCCATCTACCCCCTGGTGCTTTAAACCTTCACCGCTCACGCTGCCGGTAGCCTGTCTCACAGAACTGCGTGTTTTTGACGGTGGTGTAGCTCTAGTTTTATGGTCATAAAAAGAGGTTTGCAAGGAGAATTTGAAGAAACGCCATTCCAACCTTCCCAGTTTTGGGAAAGATATGCTCGTATTTCATAGAATTACTTCAAAGTTGTTTTTTTCTCCACAGCCCGTCCCCATCTCCGTCCCACATACCTTCCTCTGCGGCTCTGTGTCTGCTGCCTTAAGTTATTTTGCGCTTTCTTTTTGCACGGAGCATCTGTGAAGTCACTTAGCACAGGTTGGGACAGTGCATGACACGGACCAAAGAGAGACACAGCCTACCTGTACCTCTTTTTTCTTGTGGAACCAAGTACCACATTGAAAAATATAATTACATATTTTATTCTATACCATGTGATGGTAGTGCTAGATAACAATAAATGACTGAATGAAGACTCAATGCAAACTAAATAAATGCCAGCATTTTTTTATGTTTTTTAATGCCATGTAAAATTCAATTTTAATTTACAATTTAATGAAATATTTGTTTGGAACTAAAGAGAATTTAGATAAATATTGCATTCGAGGTTCCAAGTGTTCCAGCAACTAAACGACTAAATGCCAACATTGTAAAGGGGGAAAAGAAAGGAATTCAAAGTCAGCCCCTATCGGAGCTACTGAATGACCATTTGGAGTGAAATACTGTGAAAAGAAAATATCACATGAACCGAGATAGAAAGAATGTTTATACAAGCAAAATGAGTGCAGACAGAAAATCTCACCAAACCACACAAATGTAAATATGTACCAACCTGGGCTCACAAGAACACATCGTTATTAAGAATCTTTTTAATATATATATATATATATAATGAAAAGACACCCAAACTCAGTATTAGGTTTAAAATGAATGTTGATTCTCTGGTGGTAACCGATGTGCAGCCACACACATGCTATAAACGCACGGGTCAGCTTGTAAGAACCTCCTGATAGTACTGCACTCTTCTACCTTCTATATTGCAACATTTCAGTGATACAAATTACAGCTTGGCCAGTGGTGGTTTGTAGCCACTTGAGCCTTTTTTTCCCCCAAATGACATATCGTTATATATAATCCAGGCATAACGGAGGAGGAAAAATAAGCAAACAGCCCCCAAAAAATCCTAACTGATGCTTTCGCCGCCCGATGCTTCCCATCCCTCCCGTTTCCAAATTGCAGTTTTGGTTCCGCTGCTTCATTCGTCTGCGGCACTTGACAGAGAATGAAAGCATTTTTCTTCCCCTGGAGCAGGTCGGCGGCGCGGAGGGACGGTCTTTGCGGCAGCATGTCGTCTCAGAACTGGACTGAGCCATCTGCCCATCTCTCCGTCTTCCTCCTCTCAGCCTGCGGTTGTCAGGCCGCTCATTTGCTGTAATCTCCCCCTTCAGCCCCGGTGCCAATGAAGGAAGCTATTTTAGAAGCAGCAGTGGCAAAGTGGGATTTCAAAGAGAGGAGAGAAAAAAACTGGACAAAAAGGAGGAGGAGATGGGAAAATAAAATGATCCGGCATTGGGAGGTCGAAGAAGAATGAATGAGGGAAGAGACATCCACTGTCCACTGTCCCTTATTGTCTCTTGTACATTGCGGTTGGCGTTGGGAGACGAGGCCAAGCTGTTGTGGAGCGTTGTATATACAATATGGTCGTCCTGTTTAGTTTCAGAATGGGAAGAGATGGATGGATACGGATATATATATATTCTTTGTATGTATCCTTAACTACCAAAAGTCAATGTGTGAAATATAATGTGAGTATTTTAAAAGAGGCAGGTTGAGTTTTTTTTGTGAATTTAAGTAACGCAAGATAGACCCAACATTTTAACTGCTTAAACATGAGGTGGTTTAATAGTCACTGTTAACTTAGGGTGAAGTGGTCCTTTCTCTGTGTGTATGTTTGGGCCCAGAATAAGTGATTCGGAACCTGTGGTTGGCTGTCCTGATTAGGATCCCAGTGATGTGGCATTAAAACGCTCCATCCGACTCACACGTGCTCCCTCTCGCTGTCCCACCACAGCTGGGCGAGCGGAGACTGGGGCCTCTGCAGCCGCTCGTGTGGAGGAGGTCAGCAGACCAGGACGCTGCGCTGCCTGAGGAAGGTGACCTATCAGAGGGAGGAGGTGGCGGCTCACTCCCTCTGCCCCGTCATCTCGCCGGCCCAGATCCAGCCGTGCCACACGCAGGCCTGCCCGCCCGAGTGGAGCACGGGCTCCTGGTCACAGGTGGGTTCGTGAAAATACCTGTGTTTAGGTCAACTGTTCACCTTTGTTACATGCCGGTGTGCCAAATAGCTCCAAAACTTCAGACAATCAGCCTCAGTTCTTTTGTGTTAAGTTGCTTATTTACGCTAAATCAAGATGATAAAAATCCCCTCATGAGCATGTTCACAGACACATTTAGCTCCAAACATGTATAAATAAAGAGACAGAGCAGTGATACTCTATGTCCCACACGACACAATCTAGCTAAGAGAGTTTGTGGGGAAATTACAGGGAAACGTTGTAATGCACTTACTTACCGGCGCTTCGGCCCCGGGGCCCGGTGACTTAGAAGCTAATTTGTGTTACTGGCTGCTTGAGTCAGTAGAGGAATAGAGAGGCATCTGACAGTCTCTCTCCCTGTGTGCGCGCACGAGTGTGTGTTAGTAGGTTTAAGCCTGCAAATGCATACATTCTGTGAGACAAAAATGAGTGTTTGCCTGCAGGGAGCCGGCTTCTTCAATCCATTCATTTTCTGTCTCATAACGATATGCTTCGTTATGAGTTTGGAATGATTATTGTAAATTAAACCGCTGCCATGAGGGATTTCTGTGACACTATTGTATTCAAATGACGCGTTACTAGTGTTTGTGCAGGCTGGTTGTTACTCTGACCCTGCAGCTGAAATAAGGCAAATACTTCATCTATTCTTTATTTACATCTGTGCTGTTCCTGCTGTGACGTGTAGTTACCTCTGTACTTGCTGTTCAAACAGAAGTGCTGACTTCAGCATTGCCACTAATGTTGCTAGGTTACGCGTGCCAGCTGTCAAAATTCATTTGTTGGCTATGAGTGATCAGCGTCCACCGACAAGTTTAAACAAAGATGCACGTTGAGACATTTGCATGACGGAAAGTCGCACACACTCCACCACACACACACTAACACACTCTCACAAGTGTCAAGAGGTTTCACTCATGCTAAATCAAACACTCTGCTGCCCTCTGTTGGACACGGGACGAACATCGAAAAAACAAACTACAGATGGGTTCAACTGGCCACTTGTAAGACTATTCGGCCTTTATCCTCAAACATCTGCTAAACCTTTTCACTCCCACTCATCCCAAACGAAACGTTCTCCCTTCATCCCCGTGTCCTTCTTATTTAGGAAATCTTATTTCAACGTTTGAATCTCAAGGTAGTTCGAAGGTAGTAACCAAACACTTTGAATCACCAAACAGCTTATTACGCCTTTGGATCCTCTGGCTGTTGACCAAGTGCAACTACAGAGCTTCACACAGAAGACGGGCTTCTGTTTGCTCATTAAGCGCCAATCTGCGGACGATTGGCTGGTGTGACACAGCTGTGGGGGGGGGACGAGGGGGGGGGGGGGGGGGGGGGCCTTTGTGGCCCCACGGCCCAGATGCTAGTAATGGTCCCGCAAGGACAGCAGACATGTATACTTCAAACTTGATTAAAATTTTTAACGACAACAGGGACGACAGGGACGCTTGTTTGAGCGCGTCAATCCGTATGCACAGATGTGTACGAGTCCTTTGTCTCGTCGGCTCGTGTGACGCTGTCACATTAACTGCCCTGACAGCTGTGTCTCTCGGTCCCCGCAGGGCGATTTGACACCGCTGTCCACCTCTGCTTTTCAGTCAGAGCTGCCTTTGGTGGGCGCTTTGATGCCTCGGGGGGGTCACACACTCTTTTGCTCGTTATTGGCGCATTTTATTTAATGTTAGACCGTAATGTGGCGAATTTACGAGCGCGTTGACCGTGCCAAAGGGTTTGACCTCTGCTGAAGGCGATGAAAGCTTAAGGTCAAAGCAGTATCGACAAAGTTTGGTGCATGATCATTTCACTTTTGCACACAGCGAATCCCTCCTCTCATTACGCCGCTTGTTCTCCGCCGCCGTGACGTCCTGGTGTCCGTTCACAGTGCTCCAAGACCTGCGGCCGCGGCCTGAGGAAGCGCAGCGCGTTCTGCCGCAGCACTGATCCCGGGGCCAAGGCGGTGGTGGTGCCCGACAGCATGTGCAGACAGCACCACAGGCCCAAAACCCAGGAGACCTGCGTCCTGCGGCGCTGCCCGAAGAACGAGCGGCTGCAGTGGGTCACCGCGGCTTGGGGGGAGGTAGGAGAGAGGAGACTTCTGACTTCTTCACTTTAATAATTCTCAAAAAAAACAACTGAAAACACCTACATGTACGTTATAAGGATCAGATTTACCTTGAGTACATGAGACAAGACATCTGCACTGAATCACCAGCAATGATGAACATCGCATCCCTTCACTGAAGGTGTTGTAGAGTAAAGAAAAGGAAGAGCTGGATTGGGTGCAGAGGGAAAAAGGATGACTAAACATTTAAATGGAAAAAGTATGAAGTGGAATAATGGTGGAATACAGATGGTTGTCATTTTTCTTTTCAACTCTTCTGATGTGTCCAATGATGAAGCAAAGGCAAAGGTCAAAGGAGCTAATTTGAAAACAAGTATTCACTTTATCCGACTTTAATTCATTAATCTATTAATTAAGTGTGAAAAAATGTTCAAATGTAGGACTTTCTTCTTTTAACCTTTTAACCTGTTATATGGTTATATTTTCTCCATTTTTGAATTGTTGGTTGGACAATGCAAACATGTCACAAATCCTAACTGAAGGAAAGTTCAGTAAAAACAAAGAAAATAAGTTACAATATAAATGTCCCAGTCTGCTGAAAGGTCAGCATCATATTTACATCTTTACTCTGCTGCCTTGCCAATTTACTTCTGTGAAAATGAAAAGTTGGATGTTGTCGGATGATTTACTCCACCCAGGATTCACTATTCATTTCCAAGATATGCCGGCTTTCTCCAGAACTAATCCAAAGTGTCCTCGAAACAACTGCGAGGTGTTGTTTATGTGTTTTTTAAACTATTCCTACAGCTGGGAAGATAAATCTGTGTTTTAATGAATCCGTAAAGTATAAATCTAAGAAACTCATGCGGCTGCTTCATCATGCTGCTCATTATGTAATCATGAATTCAGTGAGGTTTTTCCTTTAGTGTCCAGGGCCAAAGATTTGTGAGCTCTCACCTGGCTTGTTTTCTGTAAATTCTTCCTTGTCCTCATTTATAGTAGTTTGAGTGAGCAAGAGTTCATGAGCAGTTAGTTCATGCTGCTGAAAATGGAATGCAAAAGTTCTGCATAAGCGTTGGTTTGGATGCATTTACGCTCTCTCACACATGTACATACAGACTGCTCTGTACATCACATAAAAACACAGGACACATTGTGGTTTCCACTGCCATGGTAACCCCCCCACTGCACAATCAGAGAGTTGATTTGGTAAAAGTGTCTTTCCTGCCTGCGCTCTCGTTTCAGTGCTCCAGGTCTTGTGGCTCGGGCATCCAGAAGAGGGAGCTTCGCTGCGGGGAGAGGGACTCGCAGGGAGGGTATGTGCCTTCAACCGCTCACTCAGACGCTCTGCACACCCCGCGGTGGGATCTGTGGGATCGCAGTCTCAATCTTTTCAAAGTTGCAATGCTCTGGGGGAGAAGTCGTTTTTCAGCCGACAAACTGTCCTCTCCCACACAGGTATGTGGAGTTCCCCGTCCGGAGGTGCAGAAATATAGCCAAGCCTTTGGTGGATCTCCAGCAGGGCTGCAACAGAGGTCCGTGCCCAGAGCTGCCTCGGGCCGTCCCGGGCAGGACCAGCTCTGGTGCTGTGACCCTGGGCTGGTACCCGTCTCCCTGGCAACAGGTACATCAGCTCAGGCTTTGATCATAATCTGTCTCCGTGAGAGGCTGGTGGTGCTGTGCGCCTTCCAGCTGCCAGTCTTCCAGTTGGGAAGCGCTCTTACATGTGGTAGAAAGTCTTGTGACATGTAGCGCATGGCCGGGTGCTCAAATGGGGATTGGCCATCGCATCCGGGATGAAACTTAAATCTTACATCAGTCACCTGGGCAGGGACTTGAAGTAAAAGAACAGGTTGTCTGTGTGCGGGAGGACGTCTATAGTCAGTCGAAGTTGGTCACACCGCCGTCCCCGAGGTAATGCAGTAACTTTCCCTCTACCTGCATTAAAACTGCACGTGGTTTTCATCCATAGGAGCTGCAAGCGACCATTCGCTAAAACCCCTTCAAGGCCTGCCTTATCACAATTATAAGGCAGGCCTTTCAAGCCTTTTGTTCCTCCACATGAAGAAGTGGTAACCATTGGGCTGTAGACCTTCTTTTGAGCCCTTTTGTAGTAAAAGAAAATGAATTGCCCAGTTGGCAGGACGACAGCCGTACCAAACAACAACTACAACTACAAGGCTTATGAAACGGCCAATGGAAAACAAGCGCAAAAGAAAAGTGGGATTGGGATGTGACAAAGAATTAAAGTGCTCACATTTAAGTCAGGCAGTTGTAAGGATGGAAAATGAATTTGAATCTGAGAAGGCTTTTCATTCAAATTGGTTCGTTTAAGTTAACAACTTTTAAAGAATTCTGATCCCATACCCACTTCTTAAAACATTACAACAAAAACATTGATGTTTGTTCTCTACATCCCTTTTTTCTGGGAGGCCCTGAAGTGATGAGATAGCGTCTGGGCCCAAAGACAATCAATCAATACACAACACATGACCATGGGCGCTCTAATAGCCGTTTCCCCCAAAACAAGCTGTACAGTGCAGGTAGTTTGCAGAACATAGTTCTGAACCTCTGATGCAATCACAAACCCCCCACTGATACCGAGTCTATGGGAGCAGGTTATCCAGGCTATGTGTTATATCATCTATTATGCAAAGTCTCATAGCACAAGCGTGGTATTCTGCTTGATCTCAAGCTTGTGATCCCGGTATGTTTCCACCAGAGAAGGTTTCTGCTGACAGCTCGCTGGAGGGCAAGAACATGCTGGATGGGATGTTTGTTTTCTTCATCTGTTCCTTGTCTCCTCCACCATCTCCCTCTTCTGCTCCTTTCTCTGTGCGCTTGGACGTTTCATCGCCTGCTCCCTGTTTATACCCTTCCGCCCCATCTCGCCCTGCCACACAGTGCTCTGTGTCCTGTGGTGGAGGAGTCCAGGCTCGGTCCATCCAGTGTCTCCGGCAAGGTCGCCCCGCAGGCGGCTGCCTGCCCCACCAGAGGCCGGTCACTTCCAGGGCGTGCAACACACACTTCTGCCCCGCCGCCCCCCCGGCTACGGGACAACGCCCCGGCCGGGTCACAGCTGCTGGACCAACACCGGACGGCAAAGGTGAGGATGAATTTCACCCAGTTTCACTTCATAACCTCGAGAATCGTGTGTGGGAGTTGTTTCCGTGTTTTTTAAATCGGGGTTTTATTCCGATGACAGGAAGCTCATGCAGGTGTCGCACATAAATCACACACATTCACCCAATGGAGTTCCGATATTAGGATGCAGTGGGCAGCTGTAGGGCACTTTGAGATGCTACGGGCACCTTCGCAGGGCCCAGGAGGGGAACTGGCACCTTTCCAGCCACCATTCCACATTCCACACTTGTTCCGTGCAGGGACTTGAATCATCAACCCTCCGGGCACAAAGCCACGTCCCTACGGAGTGAGCTACCACTGTACCTGCAGCACATTTAACAGTGAACTCTCCATGCGTACAGTAGGTCATTTGTCACCAGCAAAACTATGGATGTTCCCATCATGGTCACCTACAAGCCTATTTTATCATCTATATTGATATTTAACAACTGGCTAAACTAAGATTAACATGGTGAACAATAAAACACACTAAACAATTTGCACGTTGGCATTGGATTTAGCTCAAAGGACTGTTAGTAGTGGATTAACTGCTGTTTCTTTTCTTTCTAAATGGAAACTTTTGTTTCATTATCAAATAAACATCAGCAAAATATTTAAATTAAGAATTCAAATTGCTTGTATCTGGCTACTAGACCGTTGGTTGGTGATGTATTACAATAATAACCATCATGGGTAGAACCATTGGAAATATAACCATGAGTTCTAGCCTCATGCGATGTCCCCACTAGGCACAGAGCAACACAGCGTGAGTCATACTGCTTTTACACATTATTATCATTCTTTTTCTGTGTTTTTCTCTGCAGATGAACCCTGCGTGGATCATTTCAGCTGGTGTCACTTGGTTCCCCAGCACGGCGTTTGTAACCACAAGTTCTATGGACAGCAGTGCTGCAAGTCATGCTCCAGCGGGAGGCTCTGAGACCTTTCCATGCCTCGGCCCTCGGTGGCATTCAACGCCACAAAAGCCATTTGGTGGATATTTTTCTCACAACACGCACAACTGTGGTTCGGCAGTGTGTTTTCTTCCTGGACTACTTGACTGATGAATTTGGAAAGCGGGCGAAAGAGAGAAACCACAAACTCTCCCTGTGAAAGCACGCCGTGTGGCTGATGATGTTCATCTGCCAAAGAGCGAAAGTCATCATTTCATCAATCTCATTGTAACTGGAAAGAATTGTGGATGTAATATATACATGTTGTCGTTTTGTTGAGTGTTTACCTTTTGAAACCTCGAAAGCTACAAGCCATCAGGAGAACAGGAAAGGACACTAGTGCTTCACTTTACTTACATGTTGTTGTATTCTTAAAGGTGTCTGGTTCCATACGTCTTCTTTTAAGTTATTATGGTTCTTAATATATGATTTTACATTTTTGTCAGATGTACAGTGGATCTGTGACATGTCATTTATATACCTGAGGATTGTGCCAGTTAATGAGTGGTCAGATGCCTCCTACACTTCACCCCCCCCCCCCCCCTTGTTGTCTCTATGCTGGTGAAACATTTCTGGAACAAGCTGGAATACATTTGTTCACATCAACGCTGTACGTGAAACATGGCCATGTCCTGTCGCGCCGAGAGTGTGCGGGTATGGTAATACAACTCGGTCATCCATCGGGCTGTCTTTTCTTTCCTGCAATCTCTCTATTGACTAGAGCTACATGTGGGGGGGAAGGGGGGGGGGGGGAATATTGCCGCATGTTCGCCCGGCTTGAGGAGAAGGGGAATAAGGGTAAAAAGGATGATTGCAGGGGGGAGCGTGGGTACAGTCAACACGGCGTGAGGTTCCTGAGGCTGATCAAAAGGCACCTCTGACGTGGTTTTGGTTTGAGGTCTTTCGATAAGTGAGGCCACAATACGATTCAGTTTGCCGTTAATCAGCCACGTTCAGAAAACACGTCTTTGTTCGACTCTTTGCACATTGAGCCTAATAATGGATCAAGATTCCCTTTTTCACCTTCCTTGAATCCACATTTTGTGAAAATACATGGAGACCTCTGCAAGTGTGGACTCCTAGATCACTAATCGCCAACCCTGGCCTGGTAATTTGGCTGCTTGAAGCGGACCAATTGTACTTATACAGTTAGACAAAGAAGAAACCGTCATAGTTCAAACTACTACACCCAATCTGTCCACATGCTTCTTCATGGTCACAAAAATACTACAAATATTCAGCGGAAACATCTACCGGCTGCGACTGGAAATACCGATCGGAGAAGTGCAACTGTGATGAGCTTTACGAAAGTGAAACGCTAGGTGCTAAAAAAGCCCCCTTTGTGTGATGTAAATGATTCACAGAGCAGCTTTAAAAGTTTTGAATGGCATAACAATTAAAATCCCTGAAAGATATGGATGGTATATAAGACGCCCCATCAGACGGATAGCTGCATAGTGAGGAGAAAACATAAAGAGCAAAAAGATTGGAAACTATAAATATCAAGTCCTTAAAGTGTGACCCCCCCCCCCCCCCCCCCCCCCGCAGATTACAAATTAAAAACAGTTCTTCTACATTATATAATACACAGGACAGTTCACATTAACAAAGAAGGAACAAAAACTAGTTTATGTTGAAAAGAAATCCCCGAGTGACAACAGACATCAGACCTTTTATTTCAAGCTCAATGAAACATAATGTGCACAAATGTTGATCTATTATTTGGTATTATTCCTACTTTGTACCATCTGTTGTGTGATGTGCAGATGTATAGTGCACACTGCGTCAGATTTTTAAACACAGGAATGCATTACAGAGGCCGACAGATGTGGGGGTAAATATGAAAAGAAATAAGCAGGAAACTCCTCTATATTCACGCTTAACTCCCTATATTTATCTACAAAAAGAACGTGCCGACACCGTGTTTTTGTTGGTCTTTTGAGAGTTGCTGAAATACCCGTAGACAACAATAAACATTATGGCAATACGCGGGAGGATGGAATGGCATTTTTATTACAA